CCCCCAAAATTGACCAATCAGAATCGAGTATACTAAGCACTGTATTTTATTATATTATAAAACTGTCTTCCAGGCCCGGATCACCACTCGTCTCCAGCAGTATCGGGCCAAAGCAGAACTCTCCAGAAACACCCGTCCTCAGGCCTGGGTTCCTCGAGAGAAGCTGCCGCGACCTTTGACCTCCAGTGCCTCGGCCATCAGGAAACTGATGAGGAAGGCGGAGCTTATGGGCATCAGCACCGACATCTTCCCCGTGGACACGTCGGATGCTAATGCTAGCATGGACGGCCGCAGGAAACACAAGCAACCTGCGCTCACTGCGGACTTTGTGAACTACTACATGGGTGAGGAAACATCAGGGGGATACAGGGGGGTCGTTTTCTGTGTTGGACCCTGAAGGCAGCATGGGATTCCTCTTTGATTTTTTATTATAGCAGAAAATACTCTCTGTGTCAAACAAACGCCTATGATACTGACATAGTGGTTCTCAAACTTTTTCTGTCAGGCCCCCCCTTTGGAGAAAAAAAAAAGTCGGCCCCCCCCCCCCCCCCCCAACACAAATAGTCAGGCTCAGTGGCGGCGCCAGAGATTTATTTTGGGGGTGCCGTGGGGTAGCTTGACGTTTGATAGAGGGTGCTCAAACATTTAGGGTTTCCCATTAATGTACCGGGCGCTACAGAGGAATGTTCTACTGCAACACTCCCCACGCACACAGTGTACCCGCGACTGTTACAACGAAGGCTCGATAATCAGCTCACGGCACATAGATGTAAGCAGGGGTAAAGTGCTATTTTTATGGGTGGTGTGTGGACCTCACATAGGAGGGTCCGGGGGCTTTTAAATATTGAAGTTAAAAGCATCAATCTGGTGCACTTTGAGAGCAACATGATAATCATAACACCCATATGAAACAGAACTGTAAACAGATTTACTTTTTCTTTATGGATATTTTACAAATCACTCCCCTTTTAAACTTTATTCATTTTTTACTGTCATATTGTATTTCATACTTGTTTTAAATTTATTCTCTTATTTTTTTATAACTATAATGATCATATAAACGTGTGCCTCGGAAATAATTGTTTACATTAATGGTGACCAAAACATTTGAGACCCTCTGAGATAACACTGAGAGTCCTTTAGCTCACTGAGTCTCTCAGTCTGACAGGAGAGGACTCTCCTCCACTTTGTTGTTGAAAAAACTCCTTATATCCGTTAGCGTAGCTCGCTAGCACCAGAAGCTAACAACAACGATCTCCGGTATCGGTGCGCTCTCTCTCTCGCGCACGCACACAAAATGGCTCGTTCCACACAAACACACAGAGTCGAGCTTTAATGAAACACAGAGACCCAGACGTAATAGTACTGCATCATATTATTTTCGAATCAATAATGTTTCTAAATATGATTTTTATTATTTTTTATTTTTTTTATTTTTTTAATAACCATTTATCCTCCTGGTCTCTCGCGCCCCCCACTTTGAGAACCACTGGATTAGGGCTATAAAGGACGGTCACATGACTTCACGTCTCCACCGCTAAGCTAAAGGAGGCTAATGTTGGGCTATAAAGGAACTACAGCACGGTCACATGACTTCACGTCACCACCGCTAAGCTAAAGGAGGCTAATGTTGGGCTATAAAGGAACTACAGCACGGTCACATGACTTCACGTCTCCACCGCTAAGCTAAAGGAGGCTAATGTTGGGCTATAAAGGAACTACAGCACGGTCACATGACTTCACGTCTCCACCGCTAAGCTAAAGGTGGCTAATGTTGGGCTATAAAGGAACTACAGCATGGTCACATGACTTCACGCCACCACCGCTAAGCTAAAGGAGGCTAATGTTGGGCTATAAAGGAACTACAGCACGGTCACATGACTTCACGTCTCCACCGCTAAGCTAAAGGAGGCTAATGTTGGGCTATAAAGGAACTGCGGCACGGTCACATGACTTCACGTCACCACCGCTAAGCTAAAGGAGGCTAATGTTGGGCTATAAAGGAACTACAGCACGGTCACATGACTTCACGTCACCACCGCTAAGCTAAAGGAGGCTAATGTTGGGCTATAAAGGAACTACGGCACGGTCACATGACTTCACGTCACCACCGCTAAGCTAAAGGAGGCTAATGTTGGGCTATAAAGGAACTACAGCACGGTCACATGACTTCACGTCACCACCGCTAAGCTAAAGGTGGCTAATGTTGGGTGTGATGACATTTAGTCGACTATTTTAGACACTTGTTATCAACCGCTGTTTTTAAATCCACCAGTGGGTTATTTACTGACGTATTTTATGTGATAGAACAAAACGTTAAAATGTGTTATTTCAGGATAACAACCAAAAACACATCCAGAAAACCATTGACCTCCAAACTAGGGGACAGGAAGTGATGAAATACTGACTTATTCCTGCAACTTTGTATTCCCCCTTCATACGAGAAACACTTTGGGAGTGAGATCATGTTCGAAAAAACAGTGAGGTACTATTTATCTGATTCACGTTTTATAAAAATAACCGTTTTCCTGCCAAAGTGAACGCATATGGTCTGGTATTGTAAAAGTAACCAACAGTTTTTAGTGTTATCTCTGTCCTGCATGTCTTTAACTCTTTACTGAGTGTTTTAGTCATTGTGTGTATGTCGTATAACGTCGTTTTCTCCCCCGATAAGTGGCTGTGATGACGCCGTGGCGCTGCCCTTGAGATCCTCCTCCGTTAGCCTATCTGCCATCAGTACACTCTCTCATGAGCGCATTCCTGTACGCTGATTGTGATCGTGCTATTGATTTTTGTCCCATTGATATTCAGAGCGGAACATGCGCATGATCCAGATCCAGGACAACATCTCGGAGCAGAAGAGCCTGAAAGACAAGCTGGAGAGCGAGCAGGAGAAACTGCATGTGGAGTACAACAAGGTGAGGACACTCTTACCTTAGTCAGGACTACCAGTGCACATATTACATTAGAATACGCACAGTCATCACCATGTGAATATCTTATCTAGTTTTGTGCCGTCAAAGAATGAAATATGAATATATTAGGGCTGTCAAAAAAAAATTAACTCCACTAATTATTTTAACGCGATTAACGCATGTGTATTTTTTTCTCCTCGGCCACCCCGTAGTTTCAGAGCGCATCGAGTTTAAAATACCATCTACAAGCTGATGCTGTCAGCCCCGCTCCTGCCGCCCGCTTGTGGCAGACCACACTTCCACGCTCACCGGCAGGCACCGACTGGTTGTTGGGAGGACCGGGAGGGTGTGTGTGTATATGTGGCCCAAGCGAGCGAGAGAGAGACCTTACGTGCATTGTTGTTGTTAGCATCTGGTGCTAGCTAGCTGCGCTAACGGATATGGAGCTGTTTAAATGAAAACAGAGGAGCGACATTTCGCCACAACTGCGCCGAGCACTTGACTTTATGCAGGAAGCCAGACAGTGGGACATTGTACGAGAAGTCAGCACACTCAGCACGGATAGTGCAACATGATTACAGCTCCCGTTCGAGCATATGCCTTGAGTTGCACATAGCTCCAACGATCCAACACACACACACACACACACACACACACACACACACACACACACACACACACACACACACACACACACACAGGTTGTTGTGTTTAATATTCATGAGGATATTTGTCATTGTTCAAATGATAATAAACATTAGCATAAAGCATATTTGTCCACTCATATGTTGATAAGAGTATTACAAACTTGAAAAATATTCCTCTAAGGTGCATTTAGAACAGATCAAAAATGTGCGATTAATTTGCGATTAATCGCGATTAACTATTTTAATCGAATGACAGCCCTAGTTTGTATACATAAGAAGAAAAACATTTGAATGTCTTAAAGTTGCTGAGTCGTATAGCGACCTCGAACAACAAATACATCCAGAGTTACGGTTTCTTTCCTTCCTCTAAGAAACGGATACATCTCAGTTTCTGCCTCCGGACATCCATCCCATAATAATGACCCGTAAAAACAAAGCAGTCTCTGCCGTCTGTCGCTCCGTTTGATGCTCATTGTTCTGGAGTAAAAAATATCCAAATGAAAACAAATAGAAAGAAAACAATATTTATAAATTGAAAATGTTGAATTTAAATCCCAAAAAAGTATTTTAATACAAATTAAATGTAATTTCAAAAGAAAATGTAAATCCCCAAAAATCTAAATAAAAAGTCAAAGAAAATCTAAATCTAATAAAATATCTAAATCCCAATTTTTTTCATTTTAAATAGTTTTGATGAACAGAAATATTGTTTTCTGGCTTTAACATTTCACGGGGAAACAAATCTGTATTTTAGTTTGAGGGCGCAGGGTGTTATATTTCTGTACCAAACAAATATCTTAAAGGTCTCCTATTATGCAAAATCCACTTCCTCATGTCTCTTCTTCATCAACATGTGTCCCCTCTTCCTCATGTCTCTCCTTCATCAACATGTGTCCCCTCTTCCTCATGTCTCTCCTTCATCAACATGTGTCCCCTCTTCCTCATGTCTCTCCTTCATCAACACGTGTCCCCTCTTCTTCATGTCTCTTCTACATCAACATGTGTCCCCTCTTCTTCATGTCTCTTCTACATCAACATGTGTCCCCTCTTCTCCATGTCTCTTCTACATCAACATGTGTCCCCTCTTCTTCATGTCTCTTCTACATCAACATGTGTCCCCTCTTCTTCATGTCTCTTCTACATCAACATGTGTCCCCTCTTCTCCATGTCTCTTCTACATCAACACTGTGTCCCCTCTTCTTCATGTCTCTTCTACATCAACACGTGTCCCCTCTTCTTCATGTCTCTTCTACATCAACACGTGTCCCCTCTTCTTCATGTCTCTTCTTCATCAACATGTGTCCCCTCTTCTTCATGTCTCTTCTACATCAACATGTGTCCCCTCTTCTTCATGTCTCTTCTTCATCAACATGTGTCCCCTCTTCTTCATGTCTCTTCTACATCAACACGTGTCCCCTCTTCTTCATGTCTCTTCTTCATCAACATGTGTCCCCTCTTCTTCATGTCTCTTCTACATCAACATGTGTCCCCTCTTACTTCATGTCTCTTCTACATCAACACGTGTCCCCTCTTCTTCATGTCTCTTCTACATCAACACGTGTCCCCCTCTTCTTCATGTCTCTTCTTCATCAACACGTGTCCCCTCTTCTTCATGTGTCTTCTACATCAACACGTGTCCCTCTCTTCTTCATGTGTCCTGCTAACATCAACATGTGTCCCCTCTTCTCCATGTCTCTTCTACATCAACATGTGTCCCCTCTTCTTCATGTCTCTTCTACATCAACATGTGTCCCTCTTCTTCATGTCTCTTCTACATCAACACGTGTCCCCCTCTTCTTCATGTCTCTTCTTTCATCAACATGTGTCCCCTCTTCTTCATGTGTCTTCTACATCAACATGTGTCCCCTCTTCCTCATGTCTCTTCTACATCAACACGTGTCCCCTCTTCTTCATGTGTCTTCTACATCAACATGTGTCCCCTCTTCTTCATGTCTCTTCTCCATCAACATGTGTCCCCTCTTCTTCATGTCTCTTCTACATCAACATGTGTCCCCTCTTCTTCATGTGTCTTCTACATCAACATGTGTCCCCTCTTCTTCATGTCTCTTCTACATCAACATGTGTCCCCTCTTCTTCATGTCTCTTCTTCATCAAACATGTGTCCCCTCTTCTTCATGTCTCTTCTACATCAACATGTGTCCCCTCTTCTTCATGTCTCTTCTACATCAACATGTGTCCCCTCTTCTTCATGTCTCTTCTCATCAACATGTGTCCCCTCTCTTCATGTCTCTTCTACATCAACATGTGTCCCCTCTTCTTCATGTCTCTTCTTACATCAACATGGTGTCCCTCTTCTTCATGTCTCTTCTTCATCAACATGTGTCCCTCTTCTTCATGTGTCTTCTTACATCAACATGTGTCCCCATCTTCTTCATGTTCTCTTCTACATCAACATGTGTCCCCTCTTCTTCATGTCTCTTCTACATCAACACGTGTCCCCTCTTCTTCATGTCTCTTCTACATCAACACGTGTCCCCTCTTCTTCATGTCTCTTCTACATCAACACGTGTCCCCTCTTCTTCATGTCTCTTCTACATCAACACGTGTCCCCTCTTCTTCATGTCTCTTCCACATCAACATGTGTCCCCTCTTCTTCATGTCTCTTCTACATCAACATGTGTCCCCTCTTCTTCATGTCTCTTCTACATCAACATGTGTCCCCTCTTCTTCATGTCTCTTCTACATCAACACGTGTCCCCTCTCTTCATGTCTCTCTTCTACATCAACACGTGTCCCCCTCTTCTTCATGTCTCTTCTTCTACATCAACACGTGTCCCCTCTTCTTCATGTCTCTTCTACATCAACACGTGTCCCTCTTCTTCATGTCTCTTCTACATCAACATGTGTCCCCTCTTCTCCATGTCTCTTCTACATCAACATGTGTCCCCTCTTCTTCATGTCTCTTCTACATCAACATGTGTCCCCTCTTTTTCATGTCTCTTCTACATCAACACGTGTCCCCTCTTCTTCATGTCTCTTCCACATCAACATGTGTCCCCTCTTCTTCATGTCTCTACATCAACATGTGTCCCCTCTTCTTCATGTCTCTTCTACATCACATGTGTCCCCTCTTCTTCATGTCTCTTCTACATCAACATGTGTCCCCTCTTCTTCATGTCTCTTCTACATCAACATGTGTCCCCTCTTCTTCATGTCTCTTCTACATCAACATGTGTCCCCTCTTCTTCATGTCTCTTCTACATCAACATGTGTCCCTCTTCTTCATATCCTCTTCTACATCAACATGTGTCCTCTCTTCTCCATGTCTCTTCTTCATCAACATGTGTCCCCTCTTCTTCATGTCTCTTCTTCATCAACATGTGTCCCCTCTTCTTCATGTCTCTTCTTCATCAACATGTGTCCCCTCTTCTCCATGTCTCTTCTACATCAACATGTGTCCCCTCTTCTTCATGTCTCTTCTTCATCAACATGTGTCCCCTCTTCTTCCATGTCTCTTCTACATCAACATGTGTCCCCTCTTCTTCATGTCTCTTCTTCATCAACATGTGTCCCCTCTTCTCCATGTCTCTTCTACATCAACACGTGTCCCCTCTTCTCCATGTCTCTTCTACATCAACATGTGTCCTCTCTTCTTCATGTCTCTTCTACATCAACATGTGTCCCCTCTTCTCCATGTCTCTCTACATCAACATGTGTCCCCTCTTCTTCATGTCTCTTCTACATCAACATGTGACCCCTCTTCTTCATGTCTCTTCTACATCAACATGTGTCCCCTCTTCTTCATGTCTCTTCTACATCAACATGTGTCCCCTCTTCTTCATGTCTCTTCTACATCAACATGTGTCCCCTCTTCTCCATGTCTCTCTACATCAACATGTGTCCCCTCTTCTTCATGTCTCTTCTACATCAACATGTGTCCCCTCTTCTTCATGTCTCTTCTACATCAACATGTGTCCCCTCTTCTTCATGTCTCTTCTACAATCAACATGTGTCCCCTCTTCTTCATGTCTCTTCTACATCAACATGTGTCCCCTCTTCTTCATGTCTCTTCTACATCAACATGTGTCCCCTCTTCTTGATGTCTCTTCTACATCAACATGTGTCCCCTCTTCTCCATGTCTCTTCTACATCAACATGTGTCCCCTCTTCTCCATGTCTCTTCTACATCAACATGTGTCCCCTCTTCTTCATGTCTCTTCTACATCAACATGTGTCCCCTCTTCTTCATGTCTCTTCTACATCAACATGTGTCCCCTCTTCTTGATGTCTCTTCTACATCAACATGTGTCCTCTCTTCTCCATGTCTCTTCTTCATCAACATGTGTCCCCTCTTCTTCATGTCTCTTCTTCATCAACATGTGTCCCCTCTTCTTCATGTCTCTTCTTCATCAACATGTGTCCCCTCTTCTTCATGTCTCTTCTACATCAACATGTGTCCCCTCTTCTTCATGTCTCTTCTACATCAACATGTGTCCCCTCTTCTTCATGTCTCTTCTACATCAACATGTGTCCTCTCTTCTCCATGTCTCTTCTTCATCAACATGTGTCCCCTCTTCTTCATGTCTCTTCTTCATCAACATGTGTCCCCTCTTCTTCATGTCTCTTCTTCATCAACATGTGTCCCCTCTTCTCCATGTCTCTTCTACATCAACATGTGTCCCCTCTTCTTCATGTCTCTTCTTCATCAACATGTGTCCCCTCTTCTCCATGTCTCTTCTACATCAACATGTGTCCCCTCTTCTTCATGTCTCTTCTTCATCAACACGTGTCCCCTCTTCTCCATGTCTCTTCTACATCAACACGTGTCCCCTCTTCTCCATGTCTCTTCTACATCAACATGTGTCCTCTCTTCTTCATGTCTCTTCTACATCAACATGTGTCCCCTCTTCTCCATGTCTCTCTACATCAACATGTGTCCCCTCTTCTTCATGTCTCTTCTACATCAACATGTGACCCCTCTTCTTCATGTCTCTTCTACATCAACATGTGTCCCCTCTTCTTCATGTCTCTTCTACATCAACATGTGTCCCCTCTTCTTCATGTCTCTTCTACATCAACATGTTGTCCCCTCTTCTCCATGTCTCTCTACATCAACATGTGTCCCCTCTTCTTCATGTCTCTTCTACATCAACATGTGTCCCCTCTTCTTCATGTCTCTTCTACATCAACATGTGTCCCCTCTTCTTCATGTCTCTTCTACATCAACATGTGTCCCCTCTTCTTCATGTCTCTTCTACATCAACATGTGTCCCCCTCTTCTTCATGTCTCTTCTACATCAACATGTGTCCCCTCTTCTTCATGTCTCGTCTACATCAACATGTGTCCCCTCTTCTTCATGTCTCTTCTACATCAACATGTGTCCCCTCTTCTTCATGTCTCTTCTACATCAACATGTGTCCCCTCTGCGTAAAGAGACTCTGAAAGTTTCAGGAACAAAGATTCTCTCTCTTTTTGATCCATTTCTATAAAAACCTGTCTGAAAATGAGCTGATCAGATTTTGGCCACTATGATGTCATAGCGATGTGTTGTCTTGTGTAACCATTAGCCAATCAGCAACCAAGGTAACCCCCCCCCCCCCCCCCCCCTTATCACCTGAATCTCCTCCTAGAGCACCATTGTGTTCTTTGTAACCAAATGTCTCTCAGAGGGGCGTGGGGAGGGGCTCCTTATTTTCATCTAAAGTAACAGACACTTTGGAAACAGGGCTGAAACAGAGGGGATTATGGGTAATGCTGCAATGACCTGTTTGGTGTTTCAGCCAATCAGAGACAGGCTCTGGATATATCTGAGACACAGGTCCGATAATCCAAAAATTAGCTCCTAAATTCTAACCCTATCTCCTATTCCTTGACCTCTGAGTGAAAGGTCACGGGGTTAAGGGATAGTGGATAGGAGAAATCAAAAGGATTTAGGAGAAGAGACTGCGGTACTTTAGAGAATCGACTGCACTTTCACTATCCCACGTGTTTCTGATGCGCCAGCGGACGTCCTGAATGAGCGTCTGCTGCTGTGGGGAAACTATGGAGACTACAGTTCTCTATACAGCGGACTACAACATGGATGTTCAATAAGAACGAGGGACTCCTGTGAACTCATCTAGAGACTCTGTGCTCTGACGCTGTTGCTTTATGCTTTATGAACGTGGACAACAGAGAAACAGATTCTTCAGGACCAAAGCTGGAATTGTGTTCATATTTCTCTCTTTGATTATAATACTGATGAACGTTCAGAACAAAGCACTTTGGCAACTTACCACATACGTTTTAAAAAGCTTAATGAGCACCGTAACTTTCATGATATCATTTCTCCGTCATAATCGGTTGTTTCCGTGAACGGCCGACTGTTGAGTGACGGCAAATGCTGCGGCTGCAATGCATTGTGGGGCAGCATTTTCTCCTCTCCTTTCGGTTAGGGAGGTCCAGTGGTTCCTAAGCTAAAGCAGGTTATAAAGGAAGTTTGACACCTCCTTTCCTTTCATCTAGAGAATTGGAACGGCTCTTATCGTGGCTGCCACTGAGGGACTTCCGGGTCATTTCACTCCGTCAGGAAGGTTCCTAAGCTAAATGGACTATTCCACTTCAGCCCTGTGATATATTGATGAAGAAGAGGATGATAGGGGACCTTTAAAGTCTATTTCACATGACTTTATTCAAACACATATTTAGCCTCTCACAAACATCGTACTCCCTGTTATTTGATTATAACACTAGTCCATTTTGCGATTCCAATACAATTTTGATTAATTGTGCAGCCTCACTTCATTTGTTACCTGCGCCGCTCAGTGTGTCCCACGTTAGACGCCTCTCATCCAACATGTGACCTCCATCTGTCAACACGAGCGGGGAAACAGCGGCGGAGTAAAAGTCACCACGGTTAATGTTGCGTTCAGTCTTCTGCCGTGCGTGTTAAGCGTTATTAATGGAGTGTGTGTTGCTAATTGCGCCGCTTCACTTGCTCTCACATGACTTTGGCCTTGGGGGAAAATGCCAGCGGAGGAACGTCATTAGAGGAGAGACTCTGACTGATGGATGGCGGCAGAAACCAGTACAAGGTTTACTCTGCAGACCAGACGAAGTGTTCACATTAAACACAGCGGGTTCAAAGGTTCACCTGCTGTATTACTGCACGGTGTAGCTGACTCAGGGACAGTTTCATCCCTCAGGCCACAAGACTGCTAAACACCTGAGCTCTGTAAAGTGCCCCGATAAACATCCATCTGTTTGTCATCTTGCAATCTACTTATTTATATAAATAGTTATCACCGCAATAAACCATATTTAAATGTGTCTTAATGTACATTATTTAATTTCATAATCTGCTCTTTTACATATATTATATTTACGTGTATATAGACTGTCATTATATATGTTGCATTGTTGGAGGAGCTCAGGTCAGAAGAATGTCATTGTCATTTCTACACTGTAGCTTACGTGCATATGACAATAAAACATTTGAATTTGAATTTGATCGTTTCACCTGCATTTATAAAGCCGGGTTATAGACAGACTGACTCCTAACACTACTCTGTGACCGTGAGCAAATCAAACCAAAGCAGGGAGAAGCTTCTTATCAGATCGTTGTTCACGGTTACCTGCCCTTCATTAAACCAGCAGTGAATGTGCTTTAGTTCCTCCACTGTTCAGATGGGAAGCACATCTAATAAACTTACATTAACAGTACTAAAAATAGCCAAAGTGAAACCAGAGCTTCGTGGTGGATCTCATTTAAAAAAGATATTGTTAGAGGGTGGAATCACAATGCATACAGCTAGGCTTACTTGCTGTTGTGTTCACGGCATAGTCTTATATACAACTCTACATTCCTCTGCGTATGGAAACAAGTTTTCTGTAAGTTTAAGTTCATCAATCTACGTATCTATGACCTTAATTCAGACAGAGGGTGAAAAGAGATGCTGCAGCACAGGCAGTATGAGAAAAATAAAGAGCTTTTTGAACATTAAAGCATGGAGACATGTCCCAGTAGACCAGTGTTTCTCAAACCTTATCATACCAAGGACTTAACCAATACAAAAACACTCACGGACCACCTAACTCCACAAATATAAAAAAACACATAGTTTTTCTAGAACAGATTACAAATCGCCTGAAAATGGTACAAACAAGTGGCAACATGTGTGATGAAGGTGTTGCCCTGGGCTGTATCATGCAATTGAAAGTGAAACTTAACCTCGCTCCATTGCGGAGATATTCCCGCGAGAGTGCGGAAAACTGAAATAAATGTATTTATTTCAAATGTGAAATGTTACCAATATACTCACGGACCACTAGGGGGCGCTCACGGACCACCAGTGGTCCGCGGACCACACTTTGAGAAGCACTGCAGTAGAGACACTAAATACATAAACTTAACACGAAAAGAAAGGAAATGTGTGCTTGGTAGATTATTTCTTTGTTGTAACAATGCTTCTTGGCAATACATCTTATACCGTTGGAAAGCCTGTTTGTTTACCTTTCAAATGGTGCCACATTGGTGAGGAACAAGCATTTGTGGGATGAGCAGCAGAGCTGAGTCTGTGGGTTGCAAACATGAAAAACGTGATAAATCTCCAAGAAGCATTGTTACAACAAAGCAATAATAAACCAAAGACACATTTCCTTACTTTTGTGTTAAGTTTAGATAATATTACATTTAAATATGGAGTTCCACAAGGATCTGTCCTGGGACCACTTGTTGTTGTGACTTTCGTAGAAAAACTCATGATTTATCATATACGTATATGTGTGTGTTGTTCCCCCTGCAGCTGTGTGAGTCTCTGGAGGAGCTGCTGAATGTGAACGGAGATCTGCGCAGTGAAGGCCAGGCCGTGTGGACTCTGCTGGGGGACATCATGGGACAGGTAACCACCACACACACACACACACACACACACACACACACACACACACACACACACACACACACACACACACACACACACACACACCCCACACACACCACACACACACACACACACACACACACACACACACACACACACTACCTCCTACTCCCCACTATACATTCCACACACACAAATGACCATCAACCGTCCTACTGTACCACACACACACACGCGCGTACGTTTGTAATGTACGTACAAACACACATACATTACCACCACCATCAACCCCCCCCACACACACTCTCTCACACACACACACACACACACACACACACACACACACACACACACACACACACACACACACACACGCGCACACGCACACGCACACACACACACTTTACTCAAACACATTATAATGTTCATTTCCAGCGCTGTGTGATGGAGAGTTATTCAGACTTTGATGGTGAACAGCAGGGTGATAATGCTGTCTGGAAAGCTGCTTTTATTAAAATAAATGCTCTTTTATTTTTGCACTAACTGACCCGTTGCTTCTCGGCGGGGAAGTGAAAGCCGTCTCCCGCTTCTTGTTACTATGGCAACCAATTGCCAAGGGTGATGGGGCATTTATTAATTGTAAATTGCAATCTAGAAAATTACCCTGAGAGCTTATTTTTTCTCTCTCTGTAATGCACTTCATTTTAAAAGTCACTCTGAGCCTTTTAAAGGGAAAAATCCCCTCAAAAACTCTCCCATCAGGAGACGCTGCAGCTTCAGAAAGGATGCAGATATAAAAACCCAAATGTTCCACATGAAGAAACTTCTTCAGCAACTTGACAACACATGCAGCGTTTAGAGAACACAACTGAGGGTGAAAAGAGGTGCTGCAGCACAGGCAGGATGAGAAGAATAAAGAGCTTTCTGAACATTAAAGCATGGAGACATGACCCAGTAGAGGTACACAGGAGAGACACTACATAGATAGATTATATTACATTAAATATGGGGTTCCACAAGGATCTGTCCTGGGACCACTTTTGCTCTTGTTGTGACTTTCGTAGAAACATGGAAACAATATACCTTCTGCAGACTAAATTGAGTGAGAGTTGTGATCTATATAATCCAGTTTTTTAAAATGTATATATATATAAATACATTTAGATATACACACACACGCATATATAACCAGGGCTGCACATAACTTTCTCAGTGAGGTACTCAGATGAGTACCTGGAGTCGGTGTTTGTGTTTGGTACTCCAACTTCTGGCTCCACTCAAAGTTATTTGATGAAGCCCTCTGTATCGCGAACATCAACCGGGGGGGGGGGGGCTAGTGGAGTACTTCGTGACCACAGAGCGTGAACGTCGTGATCAGCTGTTTTAGCGCAGTTCTCCAGTGAAGGGGGGGGGGGTCTCCCTCTGCAGCCAGTTGGCATAGTTTCGGCACAATTCCGTTGTACAGACCGACGTTAACAGCAGCCCTGTCTGTGCACACGGAGACCGACTCTGTCGTCCGGTGATCTAACCGCCTTCTGGAAAAGCTTCACCAGTACGTCGGTACGCAAATGCGCTTTGTGACACAAGAGACGGTACGCATTTCAGATTGATGCCGCGCATGCGTACCAGTTATGTGCACCCCTGTATATAACACTCATTCAGCAACTTGAGGAAACATGCACAGCGTTTACTAAAAGCTGCAGAAACCAAACGCTGCAAGAAGCTCAAAACACAATGGAGACCAGGGGACACTAAAGAGTGACGCACACAGCTGGGAGAACAGGGGACACTAAAGAGTGACGCACACAGCTGGGAGAACAGGGGACACTAAAGAGTGACGCACACAGCTGGGAGACCAGGGGACACTAAAGAGTGACGCACACAGCTGGAGACCAGGGGACACTAAAGAGTGACGCTCACAGCTGGGAGAACAGGGGACACTAAAGAGTGACGCTCACAGCTGGGAGAACAGGGGACACTAAAGAGTGACGCACACAGCTGGGAGACCAGGGGACACTAAAGAGTGACGCACACAGCTGGAGACCAGGGGACACTAAAGAGTGACGCACACAGCTGGGAGAACAGGGGACACTAAAGAGTGACGGACACAGCTGGAGACCAGGGGACACTAAAGAGTGACGCACACAGCTGGGAGACCAGGGGACACTAAAGAGTGACGCACACAGCTGGGAGAACAGGGGACACTAAAGAGTGATGCACACAGCTGGGAGACCAGGGGACACTAAAGAGTGACGCACACAGCTGGAGACCAGGGGACACTAAAGAGTGACGCACACAGCTGGGAGAACAGGGGACACTAAAGAGTGACGCACACAGCTGGGAGAACAGGGGACACTAAAGAGTGACGCACACAGCTGGAGACCAGGGGACACTAAAGAGTGACGCACACAGCTGGGAGAACAGGGGACACTAAAGAGTGACGCACACAGCTGGGGAGAACAGGGGACACTAAAGAGTGACGCACACAGATGGGAGACCAGGGGACACTAAAGAGTGACGCACACAGCTGGAGACCAGGGGACACTAAAGAGTGACGCACAAAGCTGGGAGAACAGGGGACACTAAAGAGTGACGGACACAGCTGGAGACCAGGGGACACTAAAGAGTGACGCACACAGCTGGGAGACCAGGGGAGCACTAAAGAGTGACGCACACAGCTGGAGAACAGGGGACACTAAAGAGTGATGCACACAGCTGGGAGACCAGGGACACTAAAGAGTGACGCACACAGCTGGAGACCAGGGGACACTAAAGAGTGACGCACACAGCTGGAGACCAGGGGACACTAAAGAGTGACGCACACAGCTGGGAAGACCAGGGGACACTAAAGAGTGACGCACACAGCTGGGAGACCAGGGGACACTAAAGAGTGACGCACACAGCTGGGAGAACAGGGGACACTAAAGAGTGACGGACACAGCTGGAGACCAGGGGACACTAAATAGTGACGCACACAGCTGGGAGATCAGGGGACACTAAAGAGTGACGCACACAGCTGGGAGAACAGGGGACACTAAAGAGTGATGCACACAGCTGGGAGACCAGGGGACACTAAAGAGTGACGCACACAGCTGGAGACCAGGGGACACTAAAGAGTGACGCACACAGCTGGGAGACCAGGGGACACTAAAGAGTGACGCTCACAGCTGGAGACCAGGGGACACTAAAGAGTGACGCACACAGCTGGGAGAACAGGGGACACTAAAGAGTGATGCACACAGCTGGGAGACCAGGGGACACTAAAGAGTGACGCACACAGCTGGAGACCAGGGGACACTAAAGAGTGACGGACACAGCTGGGAGAACAGGGGACACTAAAGAGTGACGCACACAGCTGGGAGAACAGGGGACACTAAAGAGTGACGCACACAGCTGGGAGAACAGGGGACACTAAAGAGTGACGCACACAGCTGGGAGAACAGGGGACACTAAAGAGTGACGCACACAGCTAGGAGAACAGGGGACACTAAAGAGTGACGCACACAGCTGGAGAGTCCAGGGGACACTAAAGAGTGACGCACACAGCTGGGAGACCAGGGGACACTAAAGAGTGACACACACAGCTGGAGACCAGGGGACACTAAAGAGTGACGCACACAGCTGTGAGACCTGGGGACACTAAAGAGTGAAACACACAGCTGGGAGACCAGGGGACACTAAAGAGTGACGCACACAGCTGGGAGACCAAGGGACACTAAAGAGTGACGCACACAGCTGGAGACCAGGGACACTAAAGAGTGACGCACACAGCTGGAGACCAGGGGACACTAAAGAGTGACGCACACAGCTGGAGACCAGGGGACACTAAAGAGTGACGCACACAGCTGTGAGACCTGGGGACACTAAAGAGTGACACACACAGCTGGAGACCAGGGGACACTAAAGAGTGACACACACAGCTGGGAGACCAAGGGACACTAAAGAGTGATGCACACAGCTGGGAGACCAGGGGACACTAAAGAGTGACGCACACAGCTGGGAGACCAGGGGACACTAAAGAGTGACGCACACAGCTGGGAGACCAGGGGACACTAAAGAGTGACGCACACAGCTGGGAGACCAGGGGACACTAAAGAGTGACGCACACAGCTGGCGACCAGGGGACACTAAAGAGTGACGCACACAGCTGGGAGACCAGGGGGACACTAAAGAGTGACGCACACAGCTGGGAGAACAGGGGACACTAAAGAGTGACGCACACAGCTGGGAGACCAGGGGACACTAAAGAGTGACGCTCACAGCTGGGAGACCAGGGGACACTAAAGAGTGACGCTCACAGCTGGGAGACCAGGGGACACTAAAGAGTGACGCACACAGCGGGGCGACCAGGGGACACTAAAGAGTGACGCTCACAGCTGGGAGACCTGGGCTGCTTCTCAGGTCGACTATTTTCATTTCCTCGCTCCTCGATCCTCGGTCTCACCGGAAGTTGATTTGCCTGCGCCATCTTGAGTACCGTCCCATGGCTCTTATTTCTGCCGGAGGACCGAGGATCGAGGAGCGAGGAGCGATCATGGAGGAGCGATAACCGAGGAACCACCAGACCATCCTCCGATGAAATCCTCAGATACTCACCCCGCCCCCTTACTGTGTATCGCTCACTGATTGGACGAGGCAGTGCATGATCTGATGCTTCTTGACATGAGAGCAGGGTGAAGAAAACACATGAACCTCACGGGAGTCACTCCTCAGTTTATACCGTGTTTTGTTTCAATTCATGTTTCATTTAGTTACAAATATGTGATATATCTGAACAACAAAGTGGGCAAAAATCATTTAATTCATTTTTTGGAAACATTTTCATGATCGCTTTTTTCGTTTTACATTTTCATTTATTGTCATTTCCATTCAGTCAGTCATTAAGTGCTATTGAAATGTTAGTGTGCTACATATCCACACAAACAAACAAAGTGTGCAGTCCAATGAATGTTAATCTAACTGAGTTTTGATAGATAACATATCTCTTTTTCTTCTCTCCATTATTTTATTTCTATTGTGCACTCTGATCAATATTAATCAAACTATTGTTCGTTTATACATTTTAAGAATGGCGTTTATCTTTTTTGAGAATGAGTTCTTATTTTATTTTATTTATTGGGGTCTACAACAGATGATACAAATGTTAGTGTCAGTAAATGTGTGCTAACAGAAGCGGGGGGGGGGGGGGTGTGTGGAAATAACGGGGACAGAGCTGCTGTCAGACGATCAGCTGTGCAGCGTCATCACAAACGGACGTCGCTTCACGTGACGCTCTGGAGGAAAGGACGTCCCATTGCTCTTAAAACTCATTTCCCTGCTTCTCGTGGTTTCCTTGCGTCCCTCCATGCTTCCCTGGTGGGAGGGACTAGAGGCAGGGAAACGACGCAAGTGAGGGAAGCAAGGATTTCATTTAATCGACCTGAGAAGCAGCCCAAGGGACACTAAAGAGTGACGCACACAGCTGGAGACCAGGGGACACTAAAGAGTGACACACACAGCTGGGAGAACAGGGGACACTAAAGAGTGACGCACACAGCTGGAGACCAGGGGACACTAAAGAGTGACACACACAGCTGGAGACCAGGCGACACTAAAGAGTGACGCACACAGCTGGGAGAACAGGGGACACTAAAGAGTGACGCACACAGCTGGGAGACCAGAGGACACTAAAGAGTGACGCACACAGCTGGGAGACCAGGGGACACTAAAGAGTGACACACACAGCTGGGAGAACAGGGGACACTAAAGAGTGACGCACACAGCTGGAGACCAGGGGACACTAAAGAGTGACACACACAGCTGGGAGAACAGGGGACACTAAAGAGTGACGCACACAGCTGGAGACCAGGGGACACTAAAGAGTGATGCACACAGCTGGGAGACCAGGGGACACTAAAGAGTGACGCACACAGCTGGGAGACCAGGGGACACTAAAGAGTGATGCACACAGCTGGGAGACCAGGGGACACTAAAGAGTGACGCACACAGCTGGAGACCAGGGGACACTAAAGAGTGACGCTCACAGCTGGAGAACAGGGGACACTAAAGAGTGACGCACACAGCTGGAGACCAGGGGACACTAAAGAGTGACGCACACAGCTGGGAGACCAGGGGACACTAAAGAGTGATGCACACAGCTGGGAGACCAGGGGACACTAAAGAGTGACGCACACAGCTGGAGACCAGGGGACACTAAAGAGTGACGCTCACAGCTGGAGAACAGGGGACACTAAAGAGTGACGCACACAGCTGGAGACCAGGGGACACTAAAGAGTGACGCACACAGCTGGGAGACCAGGGGACACTAAAGAGTGAAGCACACATCTGGAGACCAGGGGACACTAAAGAGTGACGTACACAGCTGGAGACCAGGGGACACTAAAGAGTGACGCTCACAGCTGGGAGACCAGGGGACACTAAAGAGTGACGCACACAGCTGGGAGACCAGGGGACACTAAAGAGTGACGCACACAGCTGTTCCTTAATCTGACGACGATGAGAATAATATCAGTCTTTTCACACAGGTTAAATGTAAGGATCGTGTAATCGATTCATTGTAATAAATTGAATTAGATTTTACAGTGTTTTCTAGTAAAACTTTATCATCTTGAGCTCAAATATGATGTAAAGATTCTCTCTTTTTTAACCCTTAAAGTTATATATGAATATTTATGTTGTTCCGCCGCGGTGCAGCAGACGGTGCAGCAGACGGTGCAGTCACTCCTTTGGGGGTTTTATGTGTATACCTGCTGGATCCATAAAAAAGCCTTATTAAAAGTACGAGGCGTGCAGATAAATGGTCAGAAGATGTTAATGCGGCGGCACAATGGACAGGAAGTGGCAGAAGACTGGAACGAGCCAATAAATCACCTAATTATGAACACGCACCATTTAAGTAGCAGCATCAGTCAGCGCATGCTTTTGTGTCGTCTATCTGCCACTTCTTCATCTCCTATTTGTCTTCCTGCGCGGCCATTTGCAGGAATTATTGATGTCCCGTGGACTGTCATCCTTCTACCAGTACCAACTCAGGGCTTTTGTTCTGGAAGCTGCTGGAAGTTTACTCCTGCCAACTTCACAAAAAAAAAAAGTTACTTTCCAGCTCCTTCATAAAATGCCATGAGGAGTTTTTCAAAAAGGCAAATGAAAGTGCTTCACAAAAGAATATATAAAAGCATTAAGACAATAGAAACATATTATACAATTACATTTAAATATATGTACATTGGTCAATCCAAACTGTAGAGGCTAATTTCTGACCAGCTCTTCCAATTTCAGTTCCAACATACTTCACATTTTCTCAGAGTAAATTGTGTTATTCCTATTGTACTTTATTTTTATTGTAAAAAAATTCCAAAAAGTTGAAGAAAGTCCGAATTGTGGGAAAAAGTCAACATAAAACATAAAGTCATAATTTGGAGAAAAAAATCTAAATCTAGGAATAAAATCAGAATTCAGACAAAAGTCATAAATGTGGGAAAAAAGTCAACATTTATTTAAAAATGCACAATTCTGAAAGAAATGAGTCCTGATTAAAGAAAATCAGAAATCTCGGAAAATTAAAAATCAGAAAAAAGTAATAATTCTGGGAAATCAAAAAAATAAACAGAATTTTGGAAGTGAGTCATAATTATTGAAATAAAAATAGTAAGAATTATTTGAAAAAAGTTAATTCTGACAAAAGCCATTATTTTATTAATATTCAGATGTCTGAGAAAACAATGAAAGTCATTCTGGGGGAAAATAAATCATAACTCAAACATTTCAGATTTTTAGAATTCAGAGGAAAAAAAGTCTACATTTTGAGAAAAAGTCAGATTTATGGGAGAAAACATTCTGGATCTCAGAACCCCCAAAAATGCATGCACCTGAGTAAACAACGCATACATAGGTGTAAGAAGTCAGGAGGAGTAGTCAGGGGGTCCGCGGGGTCTTAAAAAGTATTGAAAGTTGATAAATCAATTTAGAGAAAATGAAGGCTATTAAAAAGTATTAAACGGCATTTTCCAAGGTATTATATTGTGTAGCTTGTTTCCAATAAGTATATAAATGGTCCAAAGAGGTTGTATTCTACAGTCTGCCTGAATGTAGTCATGGCGTAGGTGTGTAGTGTGATTCTGTGTAGTTTATTGATGGCATCCCGTTGGGTTTGACGTCATCTGAACAGGACATCGCACGCTCACTGCTTGATAGCGCGGAGCTCCGTTTACGCCGGTTGTTAAACAACATCGTTATGGGGAAATGCAAGTCTGCGTCCAAATGGTTGGAAGATAAGGAGGAAGGACAATCAATACTGTATATAGTCAATGTGAGGTGAAGTGTGTCGCCAAGGTAACCGGTTAGAACTCCAAGTGGAGATGAGGTCTTAACATGTTTGGAAAGGGTCTTAAAAGGTCTTGAAAGGTCTTCCATGTGACTCCAGGATTCCTGCATAGACCCTGCGTAGTCCTCAGATAATTATGAAGCAAATGTCCCTTAGCAGAACGCTTTGTGTCGCAGCTTGTTGTTTTTCCTGTATTGAATACTTGTAAAAGTGGGCAGTTTGCTGGTTCTCTGACATGTTGTGATGTTTCCATTCCCGAGGACTCGGCAGCTGAAAGCCTTAAAGCTGTTTCCTCTCACTGTTTATAATCTGCACCTCTAAACTTCTTCATCTGTCTGATAAGGCTTGTTTAACGTGTTGATAGCTTCGTATCGGCAGCAGAGACACTTTGTGGTGTCCGCATGCAGGCAGACTGAAGTCCAGCTGAGCAGATAGGCAGAATGTAGCCTCCCTCTATCAAGAGCCCAGATTACAGCTTCTTCCTCGGGAGAAGGCTCCTCTGTTTAGTGACAGACTCAGCCCTGACAGATAAGTTTTCTAATTAACCTGCCTGGCAGAAATGCACCTGAGATACAGGCAGAGTTTATTTCACCTGCCGTACAACAGGTTCCTCTCTGTTCAGCTGCGAGGGAAGAACTTTATCTGGACTAGTCCAAACTCTGTCCAACACAAAGCAGCTGCTCGATAACGACTTGTCACCTGGAGGAAACTCTGACTGTGACTTTAGCAACAAAATCCCCCTGCAGTCTCACTCTCCTCTGGTGGAGTTTGGCGATAAAACGTGGATTTGTTGCACAAAAAAAGAGGAAATACTCAATTATTTGTATGTAATTTTTTCTAATGTGGGAATACCACAACCGGATCAATCTCCACTTTAATGGGGGTGGTCCTTAAATGTGGAATGAGTCAGCCTTTGCAAATAAAAAACAAAACATGTGGAGCCCACCAAAGTGTCCGTCGTAGCTGTAACCTGAAATCATTTGTGCCTTTTTTATTTTATTTTTAGAAACTGAACACCCCTGCTGTTCTGAAAGCCCCAAAGGAAAGGAAGCCCAGCAAGAAGGAGGGAGGAACAACAGGGAAGGCCTCCAGCCTGCCAGCTATACTCTACAGGTGAACACGCACGCACGCACGCACGCACACACACACACGCACACACACACACACACACACGGTCCTCAGGAAATAATAGGAAGGTTAAATGATCAAGTGAATATAGGACACCCAAGGACAGACAGACACACAAACAAACCGAACGGTGAAGAGTACAGTGACTAAGCTGGTCCTGGAAAAACTAGGGTTTAGTTGTGAAACATGTGAATAGTTTCGGATGTGTGTTATGGCGCGTTTCCACTGCAGCTCGCTTTAAGCGTGCCGAGCCGTGCGGGGCCCGTTTTTGGTTGCGTTTCCACTTGGGCTAGTACCGGCTAGCGGGTCCTAATTCACAGTTTTTCTGGCCCCTTAAAATGGTGGTTCTAGGGCCAGGAACAACCAGGCTGAGTCGGGCTGAGTATGCTAAACTAGAGAGAGAATCGCTGGCAAGCGGCTACAACTACAACAAGATGAACATATTTGACCGTGATTTAATTGTAATACACGTTTCTAAATGATGCCGAAGTAACAACATACTGATACCGGTTAGTAAAAACCATGAATTAATGCTTTGACAAGTCTGCAGACAGACGGCAGGCGAAAAACCCTTTTAAAATGCGTGTTTTCTGAATGGAGCTTGGCTAAGCTAACGTTGTAACGATCAACTATCTAAAATAGTTGTGTTAATTAAACGCACAAGGGGTTCTTGAATGAAATAATATTATAAAGGTAAACAGAAATAATAAACGGATAATCTGACAGATTTCATGCATGGATCCATTATATTGACAGTTCTCCAGCCAAACAACAGAAACAAAATTAAACAGTCCGCTCTGCGATACACAAAAAGTGTCTTTACTGCCTAATCCAGGCTATTGTTCATTGACAAAAAAAAGGCTGTTGCTCCTGCGCCCGTCGGCGGCAAAAACAGAAATGTTTGTCGGCCTTTTCAGGCTATATTCCACACAAAGGAAACACGAGGTCCAGCGTGGCACAAAGGAGTGATCTCACCCTGTGTCGGAGAGAATCTCTCTCTATCTGTGCGCGTCCTCTCCAAGGAGACGTGCTTCCAGGTCGGTCGATGCAATATCCACATACGGTTACTTTCAGTTACTTCCCCATTTTAACATACATGCTGAGAAAACGTAACTATCCCGCTGAATACCCGCATTCACCACACACAGGCTTCCTCCTCCCGTGAGAACCCCCTCTGGCATCCTGTTGACGCGCCCTCTAAAAAGCCTCTGGGCGCGCCGCGACAGGTGAATATGCAAATGAGGCTTGCAGAACCACACCCTCAAACCTTACATAAAAGTGGACATTTAACGACTGTAGTTGCGAGGATAATACACATGCATCATAGATTCTCATTTCATTTGAATCTAAACTACATGCCTTAACGTTTTCCCCTGCCCCTACAGTTTATAAGAAACACTGAGATCAATCTGCGACTGTCACAACGTTATATATGCTCCGACCGTCCACACTCACAACAACGGCCTATACAGACATAAATAAACCAGCGACGGTATTCTCCATGACACAGGCAGTCTGTGGTTTGTACTTGTTTAACTTTTGTCTAGTTTCTGAACAGATATGAGGAGCTGTGAGCTCTGAGTGCTAAGAGCTAACGGCTGTGTTGTTTTTCTGGGGCTCTCATTGAAGATGACGTCACGGCTCCGCCTACACTGCGTTACTATAGTTACTGCCCCAGTTCCTAAACTGTAATGGAAACGCAGCATTAAAGTGAGCCGGGCCTAATAAGGCCTAACCAAACCGAGCGAGGCCGAGCGAGGCCGAGCAAGGCCTGCAGTGGAAACGCGCCATTAGTTACGATGATTTAGGCATTTTCCTCTAGGTTTGCAAGAAATAAAATATATGTGTTACTTGATTGTGCAGGTCCCCACTGACACCACTGCTGTGTCTCAAATCATGTGTCTAAAACCCTTTTTTATATGACTAAAAAACATTGGTTTACCTTTCTCTTTCTTAATGACCCTTAACCAGCTTTTCATCCAACACAATGGCACACGTTTCTTGCTATTTTACTTCTGCATCTTCACGTATTGTCAGTTCCTCTGGATAAACCCGTCAGCTCAATGCCTTCATGTGTTCCTGCAGTTGTGGCATCTGTAAGAAGAACCAGGACCAACACCTGCTGGTTCTGTGTGACACCTGCAAGCTGTACTACCACCTGGGCTGCCTGGAGCCCCCTCTCACACGCATGCCCAAGAAGACCAAGAACAGCTACTGGTGAGGACATGGAGACACTTAGATATGGAGACACGGAGATACTTGGACATGGAGACACAGAGACATTTAGATATGGAGACACTTGGATATGGAGACACTTGGACACTTAGATATTAAGACAGGTAGACATAGAGACACGTAGCGATGGAGACACTTAGACATGTAGACACTTAGACATGTAGACACTTAGATATGGAGACACTTAGATATGGAGACACAGAGACATAGAGACATGTAGACTTGGAGACACGTAGCGATGGAGACACTTAGACATGGAGACACTTAGATATGGAGACACTTAGACATGGAGACACAGAGATATGGCGACACTTAGTTATGGAGACACTTAGACATGTAGACACTTAGATATGGAGACACTTAGATATGGAGACACAGAGACATAGAGACATGTAGACTTGGAGACACGTAGCGATGGAGACACTTAGACTTGGAGACACGTAGCGATGGAGACACTTAGACATGGAGACACTTAGATATGGAGACACTTAGACATGGAGACACAGAGATATGGCGACACTTAGTTATGGAGACACTTAGACATGGAGACACTTAGATATGGAGACACTTAGACATGGAGACACTTAGACATGGAGAGACATAGACATGGAGACACGTAGACACTTAGATATGGAGAGACATAGACATGGAGACACTTAGACATGGAGACATTTAGATATGGAGACACTTAGACATGGAGACACTTAGACATGGAGACACTTATGGAGACACTTAGAGCACTTAGAATGGAGACCACATAGAATAGACATGGAGACACAGAGATATGGCGACACTTAGACATGGAGACACTTAGACATGGAGACACTTAGATATGGAGACACTTAGACATGGAGACACTTAGATATGGAGACACTTAGACATGGAGACACTTAGACATGGAGACACTTAGATATGGAGACACTTAGACATGGAGACACTTAGACATGGAGACACTTAGATATGGAGACACTTAGACATGGAGACACTTAGATATGGAGACACTTAGACATGGAGACACTTAGACATGGAGACACTTAGATATGGAGCCACTTAGATATGGAGCACTAATGGAGACACTTAGACATGGAGACACTTAGACATGGAGACACTTAGACATGGAGACACTTAGATATGGAGACACTTAGACATGGAGACACTTAGACATGGAGACACTTAGATATGGAGACACTTAGACATGGAGACACTTAGACATGGAGAGACATAGACATGGAGACACGTAGACACTTAGATATGGAGAGACATAGACATGGAGACACTTAGACATGGAGACATTTAGATATGGAGACACTTAGACATGGAGACACTTATATATGGAGACACTTAGACACTTAGATATGGAGACACATAGACATGGAGACACAGAGATATGGCGACACTTAGACATGGAGACACTTAGACATGGAGACACTTAGATATGGAGACACTTAGATATGGAGACACTTAGACATGGAGACACTTAGACATGGAGACACTTAGATATGGAGACACTTAGACATGGAGACACTTAGATATGGAGACACTTAGACATGGAGACACTTAGATATGGAGACACTTAGACATGGAGACACTTAGACATGGAGACACTTAGATATGGAGACACTTAGATATGGAGACACTTAGACATGGAGACACTTAGACATGGAGACACGTAGACACTTAGATATGGAGACACTTAGACATGGAGACACTAGATATGGAGACACTTAGAAATGGAGACACTTAGACATGGAGACACTTAGACATGGAGACACTTAGATATGGGAGACACTTAGACATGGAGACACTTAGACATGGAGACACTAGATATGAGACACTTAGACATGGAGACACTTAGATATGGAGACACTTAGACATGGAGACACTTAGACATGGAGACACTTAGATATGGAGACACTTAGACATGGAGACACTTAGACATGGAGACACTTAGATATGGAGACACTTAGACATGGAGACACTTAGACATGGAGACACTTAGATATGGAGACACTTAGACATGGAGACACTTAGATATGGAGACACTTAGACATGGAGACACTTAGACATGGAGACACTTAGATATGGAGACACTTAGACATGGAGACACTTAGACATGGAGACACTTAGATATGGAGACACGTAGACATGGAGACACTTAGACATGGAGACACTTAGACATGGAGACACTTAGACATGGAGACACTTAGATATGGAGACACTTAGACACTTAGACATGGAGACACTTAGACATGGAGACAGTTAGACATGGAGACACTTAGATATGGAGACACTTAGACATGGAGACACTTAGATATGGAGACACTTAGATATGGAGACACTTAGACATGGAGACACTTAGATATGGAGACACTTAGATATGGAGACACTTAGACATGGAGACACTTAGACATGGAGACACTTAGACATGGAGACACTTAGACATGGAGACACTTAGACATGGAGACACTTAGACATGGAGACACTTAGACATGGAGACACTTAGACATGGAGACACTTAGACATGGAGACACTTAGACATGGAGACACTTAGATATGGAGACACTTAGACATGGAGACACTTAGACATGGAGACACTTAGACATGGAGACACTTAGACATGGAGACACTTAGACATGGAGACACTTAGACATGGAGACACTTAGACATGGAGACACTTAGACATGGAGACACTTAGACATGGAGACACTTAGATATGGAGACACTTAGACATGGAGACACTTAGACATGGAGACACTTAGACATGGAGACACTTAGACATGGAGACACTTAGATATCGAGACTTATTTCTAAAAATGATATAATAATATAACTGTGTTATTCAGTCTTATCACCATCAATGACAATATCATTCTAGAAACTTAAAAAAGCACATTTACTTGAGTACAAATCCTCTTAATAATCATGGTATTATATTTCTCTATGATATTAGAAAATAATGTTTAATAAAATATGAATCCCCCCCCCCCCAGTAATGGATATTTCCTCTGCGTCGTGCAGCCTTACCTCCTCCTGATACCCCCCCCCCCCCCCCCCCCCCCCCCCCCCCCCCCCTCTTTATGTGGACATTAACAGGAGCAGTTTTCATACTTGCAGTACTTTACTTATCACACGAGGATCCAGAGTTTGTTTATTCATGGTCGTCTGACATTTGTGGCTGCAGGATTATCAGATGGTAGAAATGTCACTCTTCTCCTGCAGCTCCTTATCTCCAGCAGATGTAGTGAATCTATCTTTTAAACATACGATAGATTGAAGATATCGTGATGCTTAGTGAGGTGCTACTTCCTGATGTGATAAAAAAACAGTTCCCTCTCCTGTAGTGTGTTCTATAGGTTTTACTGCATGTCAATGGTCTGCAGAGGCTAAAATCGCTGTGTCCCCTCTCCTGTAGTGTGTTCTATAGGTTTTACTGCATGTCAATGGTCTGCAGAGGCTAAAATTCCTATGTTTGCTCTACTGTAGCGTGTTCTATTGGTTTTAGTGCATGTCAATGGTCTGCAGAGCCTAAAATCCCTGTGCTGCCTCTCCTGTAGTGTGTTCTATAGGTTTTAGTGCATGTCAATGGTCTGCAGAGGCTAAAATCCCTGTGTTTGAACTCCTGTAGCATGTTCTATAGGATTCAGTGCATGTAAATGGTCTGCAGAGGCTAAAATCCATGTGTTCCATCTCCTGTAGTGTGTTTTTATAGGTTTTAGTGCATGTAAATGGTCTGCAGAAGCTACAATCCCTGTGCTGCCTCTCCTGTTGTGTGTTCTATAAGTTTTACTGCATGTAAATGGTCTACAGAGGCTAAAATCCTTGTGTGAGGGACTTTCTCTCTTAGATTCGATATACTTTATTCATCCCAGATTGGGGAAATGGTTTTGTCGCAGCAGGTGTTGCTCATAGATATAATAAAATACAAGTAGAACAAAATAAAAGATGAACATAATCAGTAAAACATATCCACAGTTGAAAAGAGTAACTAAAGAATACATCATATATAATAAATACTCTCTTCCCCTGAACGACAAGGATCAGAATCAGAATACCTGTATTAGTCCCACAGAGGAGAGACAGCAGAAAGAGCCAACGGCAGCTCAATGTAAACTAATATCACAGATGTTATGATAAGGTTAATAGTGTATTCTCCTTCAGGCAATGCTCCGAGTGCGACCAGGCCAGCAGCGACGAGGCTGACATCGCCATGGAAACGCTGCCGGACGGCACCAAGAGGTCGCGGCGGCAAATCAAAGGACCAATCAAATTCATCCCTCAGGAGATGTCCCCGGAGCCCAAGAAGCATCAGGTGAGAGGACGCATACATACTGCTGAAAACACGAATACTGAAAGAGTCTAAACTCAGGCTGATCGATCGGCATCGTCCTCGTTCTCCCGCTGCCCTGCTGGAGGTCATCAGAAAGACAGCGGAGGAGAGTTCCCCTGAGAGGAGAATAGGACGGCTGAATACAAACGTGAACATCAACAGTCGTATGGAGAAGGATCAGGGACACATGTAACTTTAATGTTTTAGAGCTGACCAGAAAAAGCATTTTTATTTTAGATCTGAGGAAGAAATCTGAATTCAGACTTTCAGAGATTATTGTTTTTAAACATTTCAGGAAAAAAAAAAAGCTCTGGATTCTTTAACCGCAGAATTCTAAGAATAAAGTCATCATTCAGAAAAAGAAATATTAAGAAATAAGAAATAAAAATCATAATGAAGTCAGAGATTCAGAGAAGGGATTGAAACAAATAATCTGAATAAAAATAATTGGGAAAATGAATCCTGAGATTAAAATCATAATTATTCATTTGATCTCATTATTATGATTTTATTTTCAGAAATGTGTTGAAGTGTGAGTGTGGCCCTTTAAGAGCCTCAGTTTGTGAGTGTGGCCCTTTAAGAGCGGGAGTTTGGCCCGTTAAGGGCGTCAGTGTGTGAGTGTGGCCCTTTAAGAGCCTCAGTTTGTGAGTGTGGCCCTTTAAGAGCGGGAGTTTGGCCCGTTAAGGGCGTCAGTGTGTGAGTGTGGCCCTTTAAGAGCCTCAGTGTGTGAGTGTGGCCCTTTAAGAGCCTCAGTGTGTGAGTGTGGCCCTTTAAGAGCCTCAGTGTGTGAGTGTGGCCTGTTAAGAGCCTCAGTGTGTGAGTGTGGCCCTTTAAGAGCCTCAGTGTGTGAGTGTGGCCCTTTTAAGAGCCTCAGTGTGTGAGTGTGGCCCTTTAAGAGCCTCAGTGTGTGAGTGTGGCCCTTTAAGAGCCTCAGTTTGTGAGTGTGGCCCTTTAAGAGCGGGAGTTTGGCCCGTTAAGGGCGTCAGTGTGTGAGTGTGGCCCGTTAAGAGCCTCAGTGTGTGAGTGTGGCCCTTTTTAAGAGCCTCAGTGTGTGAGTGTGGCCCTTTAAGAGCCTCAGTGTGTGAGTGTGGCCCTTTAAGAGCCTCAGTGTGTGAGTGTGGCCCTTTAAGAGCCTCAGTGTGTGAGTGTGGCCCTTTAAGAGCCTCAGTGTGTGAGTGTGGCCCTTTAAGAGCCTCAGTGTGTGAGTGTGGCCCTTTAAGAGCCTCAGTGTGTGAGTTTGGCCCGTTAAGAGCCTCAGTGTGTGAGTGTGGCCCTTTTTAAGAGCCTCAGTGTGTGAGTGTGGCCCTTTAAGAGCCTCAGTGTGTGAGTGTGGCCCTTTAAGAGCCTCAGTGTGTGAGTGTGGCCCTTTAAGAGCCTCAGTGTGTGAGTGTGGCCCTTTAAGAGCCTCAGTGTGTGAGTGTGGCCCTTTTAAGAGCCTCAGTGTGTGAGTGTGGCCCTTTTAAGAGCCTCAGTGTGTGAGTGTGGCCCTTTAAGAGCAGGAGTGTGGCCCGTTAAGGGCGTCAGTGTGTGAGTGTGGCCCTTTAAGAGCCTCAGTGTGTGAGTGTGGCCCTTTTAAGAGCCTCAGTGTGTGAGTGTGGCCCTTTTAAGAGCCTCAGTTTGTGAGTGTGGCCCTTTAAGAGCAGGAGTGTGGCCCGTTAAGGGCCTCAGTGTGTGAGTGTGGCCCTTTAAGAGCCTCAGTGTGTGAGTGTGGCCCTTTAAGAGCCTCAGTGTGTGAGTGTGGCCCTTTAAGAGCCTCAGTGTGTGAGTGTGGCCCTTTAAGAGCCTCAGTGTGTGAGTGTGGCCCTTTAAGAGCCTCAGTGTGTGAGTGTGGCCCTTTAAGAGCCTCAGTGTGTGAGTGTGGCCCGTTAAGAGCCTTATGGCGCGTTTCCACTGCAGCGGGTAGCCCCGTTTAAGCGTCCTTAACCGTCCTCAAGCGTCCAGGCCGGTTTTTGGTGGCGTTTCCATATAGCCTAGTACCGGCTAGCGGGTACTTTTTCCCTCTTTTTCCGGCCTCATCAAATCGTGGTTCCCTCAGACATGGGCCAGGGCTGAACTAGTGACGTCAACACTCTCGACTGCTGATTGGTCAGAGAGAATCGTCACAAGATTGCGCGCGAGTTCATCCCTAGCGTCGCATATATATCTAGAAGCAAGCTTGCAGCATTTTTATACACAGCATTTTGTAAACGGATGAGCTACAAAAATGGCTACGTCAAAGAAAAGCACACCGTGGTCGACCGAGGAGGTGACGACGTTCCTACATCTCATTGGGGATGATCAAATCCAGCGGGAGCTCGACGGAACAACTCGAAATGTGAACAAAAACAAAGCCGATCGCCCCGCCTACACTGCGTTGCTACCCCAGGTCCTAAACTGTAATGGAAATGCGCCACGGCCTGGGCCGGCCAGCGAGGCAGCCCGAGGCCAGAGCGAGGACGCTTAGGGACGCTTAAACGGGGCTACCCCGCTGCAGTGGAAACGCGCCATAAGTGTGTGAGTGTGGCCCTTTAAGAGCCTCAGTGTGTGTGAGTGTGGCCCTTTAAGAGCCTCAGTGTGTGAGTGTGGCCCTTTAAGAGCCTCAGTGTGTGAGTGTGGCCCGTTAAGAGCCTTAGTGTGTGAGTGTGGCCCTTTAAGAGCCTCAGTGTGTGAGTGTGGCCCGTTAAGAGCCTTAGTGTGTGAGTGTGGCCCTTTAAGAGCCTCAGTGTGTGAGTGTGGCCCTTTAAGAGCCTCAGTGTGTGAGTGTGGCCCTTTAAGAGCCTCAGTGTGTGAGTGTGGCCCTTTAAGAGCCTTAGTGTGTGAGTGTGGCCCTTTAAGAGCCTTAGTGTGTGAGTGTGGCCCGTTAAGAGCCTTAGTGTGTGAGTGTGGCCCTTTAAGAGCCTCAGTGTGTGAGTGTGGCCCTTTAAGAGCCTCAGTGTGTGAGTGTGGCCCTTTAAGAGCCTCAGTGTGTCTTCCTGTAGGAACATTTGGTGTCAGAAGCCTCTCCATCCCTCACTGGATCCTCCTTATCTTTACCCAGCATGCTCTGATCCTCAGATACAGACCCCCCCCCCCCCCCTCTCTCCCTGAGGATATTCTGCAGATTGATATCTGACAGCTCTCTGCAGAGGGGGGGCTCTTCACTTCACTTTTTGTTTTCCCGCTGTCAGTGTGTGACCCGGTGATCTCTTCAGGGACTTCAGGGACTCTTTAGAGAAAGAGTCCGTTCTGCTGAAGCTGCTGTCTCTCTCTCGCTGACAGAACAGCTGATCACTGAGGAGTATGAGAAACATGGATATGAGTGAAGTGGTGAAGATCCATCTCGATATCATGTCTGAGAGCTGGAGTCAGGTGTTAGCTTAGCATAAAGCCTTTAGGCAGCGAGAAACGCTTAGGGTAATGTGAATTATGAATTTGTTTATTTGAGTACAAACGTATTAGACCAAGTATTCTGAGCTGCGGTGGAAGGAAGGTCAATAGGTGCCATTTCCCTAGGAACAGTTTAAGATGATACGACTGCCTCTCTGCTGCTCACTTGAGACTATGGACTCTCCTTTTGTGGATTCTGGAGTCAGTTGCTTTGTGAGAAATAGAGAAATGTGAAGGAGTGTAAGCCCCTTCTCTCACAATATGCAATCATTACATCCTAAATCGCATTCTGTGTGGGATGTTGGTGGATGGGAAGTCCATGGATGCTGTGTCTGTAGGAATCCTTTAAGATGGAGGGCGCTGTTTTACTGCTCACCTGAACTCTGTGGGTGCTGTTGTTAGAAATATAGAAATGAATGAAGTAGTCTGAGTCTCAGAGTGTTACCCGAGGGTTGAATGTGTTTCTGTGCTCTGGTTCGGGTGCAGTCATGTGACCCGCTGCAGCTCTCGGGATTAACCAGCGAAGCGTTTATCTTCAAATGCAAGGCGCGACGCGGCCGACACTTAAAGGCCTGCTTTGCATTTTTAATGCTTTTACCAGAAACACTCCTTCAAAGCCATGTTTCACTTTATCAGGAGCGGCTAATCAACCCCCCGCTGGCCTCCTGAGTGTGTGTGTGTGTGAGAGAGTGTGTGTGTGTGTGTGTGTGTGTGTCCAGAGGGTCTAACATGGTCCAGTGCCACTTTGATGAAGCAGAGACTCCTGCCTGCTGGAGGAAAACCTTTAAAGTCAACCTGTGAGATGGGTTTTATTCAGCATGTACGTAGAGTCGCACCTGTAAAAGTAATGCTCCATAGCATCTGAAGGTACACACACACACACACACACACACACACACACACACACACACACACACACACACACACACTACTTTGTCCAGACAGGGCTTCATGCAAGGACGACTCATTAACACGCGTCAGGTCTTCATGGTGTGTGAAAGAAGCGCTCCTCCTCTGTCGTGCATCAGTTTTATTGGCCGACATTTCTCACTGTCAGCGGCTTTCATTCCCCGGCCTGATGCTCCGTGAGGTCGTTAATCACAGCGCTAATTAACTGGAGGTGTTTCTGAGAAGCAGTCGGAGCACGAGGAAGATCATTTAGTGAGAAAGAAAGAAGTTTGAAACACACACGTTCTGTTTATGGTGGATTTAAAGGGGAAAGGAAACACCAATTACAGCTATAATATTCCGGGAGTTTATTCATTTTACAATGGATATTGATCGTAATATTTATTGTATATGATATTACTCGCCAAAAGAAAGTTAATTATCCGCCGGCCGGGTGGGGAATTCCGGGACCAAGCCGCCGCCATTAGGGGAGTCCCAAATGGTGACGTCACTGGGTGGGTCTTCGCTCCGGGTATCCATACCGGAAGTCAACACAACGTAGCAGATATGGCAGCGATGGAGGAATTTTGCAATGAGATCGACGTTTTGAACGATGAATTTGACTATTCGTCGGGAGATGACATTGATGTGGAAGCATCTACAGTTACCAGGCATCCCATGGCCTATGCTTATGAACCGATTCGGTCGAATACTAGAGTGGCATACGATCCGGAATCCGCCGAAAGTACCGACGGTTCTGAACTCGCCGAGTGGGATACCACCAGTTCCAGTACCGACTCGGTCTCAGTGGTCAGTTGACATATATTTTGTATTATTTTCCAACACCTCGTACATCTTGGCAATACCATCCATTGAACACCTAGTCCAGCAATACTAGCCTTTTTAGGGCTGTTTTCGACAGATGAGCGTGTGTATGCCAGTTTAATTAGTTGAGCTATAGAACACCCCCAATTCTCCATTGTACGTCATAATAATAGCTACCATTTAGTTTGGACGCGATTGCGTTAATTAATAAGGTCACACTGTGTCAGTAAATACATGTGTGAGCTAGTAATCTGGTAGTGCTGCAATATTTACCTCTCTCTCGGCAGCTGAAGCAACTCGTTTGGTGGCTCGAACTTCACGTTTGTTGACACTGTCATTGTCTTGTGCGGCCGACGTGCTGGGACGGTCGGTGTTCCCGACTGCATACATTGAGAAATCGAATATTGTGGGAACAGATCCTGGCTTCAAATCCGATGTTTTGTATTGAACCAAGCATCCAGACTCATCAAACCTCATTTTGTGGACATAATCGTCATTTGTAAAGTGTTCGCTGCACACACGTGCGTACTGATTCAGCGGCGGATCGGACCGTTTCATGGAAATAACCCATGCTTTGAGCAGCTTCTCATCCTTTAGTGGCAGCCTATGGAAATGTACTTCTTCCTTCTTTGTATAAAATCCATTTGTGCAGCCTGGGGCAATACAATACGCTCCTGACGACGACCGTTTTCTTTTAATGTAAACTACTGGAGCATTGCACGCCATGTTGTTTGTTATTGAGCTTTGGCCCAGGAAGCCGTACCCACTCAGTGACGTCACTGGGAAAGTCCCGGAGCAATGGAAGCGCCCAAGGTCATTAGGCACGTATTTCAAAAAATAAATTCGCGTATCTCGATCGTTTACATTGGAAATAGACTAGATAAATACATTTCCTAATGGGAATATTGTCGCATGGAAAGCAGTTTGAAAAGTGTTTCCATTTCCCTTTAAGGTTTCAGTCAAACAGTGGCTGCTAATGAAGAACATGGGAAACATTTCAAATCCAGACGTTTGATTTTACTTTGGATGTGAGCAAAAACAGCTTCTTATCAAAAGCACCCTAAGCCACTATAGAGAGCTCACGCTCCGCTCCTATTGGCTAGCGCTCCAACACATTGTACGTGATAGGCTGAGGGGCGGGACATCTCTAAGCGCTTGACCAATCACAACAGAGCCAGCCAGCTAACCAATCAGAGCAGCTCTGGTTTTCAGACAGAGGGTGAAAAGAGGGAGTATGAGAACAATAAAGAGCTTTTTGAACATTAAAGCACGGATACATTATTCTGATAATTCGTATTTTGTATATTACCTTTTTTTCAGTTTCCATTTTTGTTCAAAATTTCATTTTTTTTCATAGAATTCGATTTTTTTTCGTATAATTTTCGATTTTCTTAGAATTTTTTCAGAATTGCTTTTTTTTAAGATATAATCTTTTTCTCCAAAAGTCACTTTATTCTGAATTTCAATTATTTTTCAAAATTTCACTTTTTTTCAGAACTGCGTTTTTTTTCTCATACGAATTTTTATTAAAATTCCCCTTTTTTCTAATTTGAATTTTTTTCTGAGAATTTCAGACTTTTCAGAAAATAACCTTTTCTTAAGAATTTTACTTTTTCAAAATGTCCTTTTTTCTCATTTGATTTTTTTTCTCACAATTTTGCCAAAAGGTAAATATATTTAACTTCCAAATCAAAGCCAAATGTCCATTCCAGTTTTTTAATCTAGGGACACCGTATATTATTCTTGGGTTAGTTAAAGTTAGTAACATCCATAGTTTGACTTAATAACAGAACATCAGAGCAGCTCTGGTTTCAGACAGAGGGTGAAAAGAGTCCTGATTACTCCCACTGCAGTTAGCGTTAATATACAAATTGTGCTGAAGTGTTTTTAATGTGAAGCAGTGATTATTAAGGGGGTGTAAAGGGGTTTCTGGGTTCAGGAGGGGATACTAAAAAGCTCCCGTAATGAGACATGATGTACCGCTAACATTAAACCCCCGATATGAACATGTGCCATTAATCATCTGTAAATGATGAGAACGAAGTTAATATATGTAGTAAGTACCACTTCCTATGCTCTGTTAATTCCTCTAATCCTGTGTGAAGTGATTCATGCTTGTTAAAGATGCACCGATGGACTTAATTAAAAGATTGATTTAGCCCTCCGTTTTAATTTCCTCACCTGAGCTGAGGCTGAGATTAGCGTTTTCACACCGCTTCGCTTTTATAAGTGACGGTGCAAACTGTGGGGGAAATACCTTCTGGTGAGAAAAGAACCAATATACAAGCTCATTTAATAAAGAGTTATAGCATTTACCAGAATCTTATTTCCAGCTGGAAAGAGTCCTGCTCGAGCAAATGGTGCCAAGATCTGCCCGAGTTACACAGAGAAGCAGTGACTGGATACAGAGGAGCAGGAAACAAAAGGGACGTAAGACATGCTCATTAGAGATAGATAGTTAGTCTGGAAATGGTCTGGTTTTTCTGCAGCGAGTTACCAGTAAAGTAGATGTTTGTGTCCTGGGTCAAATCCTGCCTGGAGTTAAAATATGTTACTGCCCATTAATAGGTGGCTTCATACCATTTGTTATTAGTCATTACACAAACTGAAAATGAGCCTCACAGGCTGCCTTATATCTTAATGGATAACTCTATAGTTTAATAAAGTTTGTTTGTATCTCTACTGGAGTTTCCTTAGGTATCAGTAAAGTAGATGTTTCTGTGTTTGGTAAATCCCAGTCTCAGGTTTGTCCCACTAACCTGAGACTAAAATCTTTTATCCCCAATAAAAGGTGACCTCCTACCCTTTGTTATTAACAATAACACTCTGAAAATGACCCACACAGGCTTCCTTATACCTCGTCATAGTTTAATGAAGTTTCTAAAAGCTGCCGAGGTTTTAAGAAAGTATTCTGAGTTCAACCTAAAAGTCTCTGGGCTTGACAGCCGTACTGATACATTCCTCCGGTCCAGACCTGGCTGCAGGATTCACTGAATGATGTGTTTTGTGGTTCTTCTGGAGGTTCTGCAGCAGCAGTTTGGCAGCGAGCGCGCGGTTCTTAATGATAAATGCTCCGTCTGGAGAGCGGCGGTGCCGAGCCAAAAGGCGACAGATGGCATTGTTTTCACAATCTGTTTAAATATGTTGTTGATTTTTCTTCCTCTTTTTAAAACCCTCCCCAGCAGATCCAACACAACAAGGAGAGGTGTTTGATTCCCTTCATGCTGCTGGGAGGAGTGTTTGTTCATGTTTTATAGACGGAGTCAGTCCTTTTAGTGCCACAGCAGCTTAATGCAGAGTCCTCTAAAGCATAATATAGGTAGACACTGTTGGTCCCTGAATGCAGCATCTCTCTGGTCCAATGGGATTTCTCCATTAGATTGTTTGACTATTTTAGATATCTGAATAACACTTTAGAGAGTAAATCAAACGGAAATCTTAAAGTTAGGAGTGTCGATCCACTTGGAGTTCAAATGGATGTGTTTTGTGTTTAACGTTTGTATGTTTTGTGTTTTGCAGAGAACCAGAGGTCAGAAGAGGAAAAGAGTTGCTATCGGCGACGACAGAGACGATAAAACTGAGGTTTGTCTTCATGCTGCAGAACAATAAATACATGCATGTTGTGAGAGAATCAGCTCGGTACTTTTTATGAGATCTGACCAAAAGTCCAAAACACAGCTGGGAGACTAGGGGACACTAAAGAGTGATGCACAGCTGGGAGACCAGGGGACACTAAAGAGTGATGCACAGCTGGGAGACCAGGGGACACTAAAGAGTGACGCACAGCTGGGAGACCAGGGGACACTAAAGAGTGATGCACAGCTGGGAGACCAGGGGACACTAAAGAGTGATGCACAGCTGGGAGACCAGGGGACACTAAAGAGTGATGCACAGCTGGGAGACCAGGGGACACTAAAGAGTGACGCACACAGCTGGGAGACCAGGGGACACTAAAGAGTGATGCACAGCTGGGAGACCAGGGGACACTAAAGAGTGATGCACAGCTGGGAGACCAGGGGACACTAAAGAGTGATGCACACAGCTGGGAGACCAGGGGACACTAAAGAGTGATGCACAGCTGGGAGACCAGGGGACACTAAAGAGTGACGCACACAGCTGGGAGACCAGGGGACACTAAAGAGTGACGCACACAGCTGGGAGACCAGGGGACACTAAAGAGTGATGCACACAGCTAGAGACCAGGGGACACTAAAGAGTGACGCACACAGCTGGAGACCAGGGGACACTAAAGAGTGACGCACACAGCTGGGAGTCCAGGGGACACTAAAGAGTGATGCACAGCTGGGAGACCAGGGGACACTAAAGAGTGACGCACACAGCTGGGAGACTAGGGGACACTAAAGAGTGACGCACAGCTGGGAGACCAGGGGACACTAAAGAGTGACGCACAGCTGGGAGACTAGGGGACACTAAAGAGTGATGCACAGCTGGGAGACCAGGGGACACTAAAGAGTGACGCACACAGCTGGGAGACCAGGGGACACTAAAGAGTGACGCACACAGCTGGGAGACCAGGGGACACTAAAGAGTAATGCACAGCTGGGAGACCACGGGACACTAAAGAGTGACGCACACAACTGGAGACCAGGGGACACTAAAGAGTGACGCACAGCTGGGAGACTAGGGGACACTAAAGAATGATGCACAGCTGGGAGACCAGGGGACACTAAAGAGTGACGCACACAACTGGAGACCAGGGGACACTAAAGAGTGATGCACAGCTGGGAGACCAGGGGACACTAAAGAGTGACGCACACAACTGGAGACCAGGGGACACTAAAGAGTGATGCACAGCTGGGAGACTAGGGGACACTAAAGAGTGATGCACAGCTGGGAGACCAGGGGACACTAAAGAGTGACGCACACAGCTGGAGACCAGGGGACACTAAAGAGTGACGCACACAGCTGGGAGACCAGGGGACAATAAAGAGTGACGCACACAGCTGGAGACCAGGGGACACTAAAGAGTGACGCACACAGCTGGGAGACCAGGGGACACTAAAGAGTGACGCACACAGCTGGGAGACCAGGGGACAATAAAGAGTGACGCACACAGCTGGAGACCAGGGGACACTAAAGAGTGACGCACACAGCTTGAGACCAGGGGACACTAAAGAGTGACGCACACAGCTGGGAGACCAGGGGACACTAAAGAGTGACGCACACAGCTGGGAGACCAGGGGACATTAAAGAGTGACGCACACAGCGGGGAGACCAGGGGACATTAAAGAGTGACGCACACAGCTGGGAGACCAGGGGACATTAAAGAGTGACGCACACAGCGGGGAGACCAGGGGACATTAAAGAGTGACGCACACAGCGGGGAGACCAGGGGACATCTGGGAGACCAGGGGACATTAAAGAGTGACGCACACAGCGGGGAGACCAGGGGACATTAAAGAGTGACGCACACAGCGGGGAGACCAGGGGACATTAAAGAGTGACGCACACAGCTGGGAGACCAGGGGACATTAAAGAGTGACGCAGGGAGACCAGGGGACACTAAAGAGTGACGCACACAGCTGGAGACCAGGGGACATTAAAGAGTGACACACACAGCTGGAGACCAGGGGACAATAAAGAGTGACGCACACAGCTGGAGACCAGGGGACACTAAAGAGTGACGCACACAGCTGGGAGACCAGGGGACACTAAAGAGTGACGCACACAGCTGGGAGACCAGGGGACAATAAAGAGTGACGCACACAGCTGGGAGACCAGGGGACACTAAAGAGTGACGCACACAGCTGGGAGACCAGGGGACACTAAAGAGTGACGCACACAGCTGGGAGACCAGGGGACATTAAAGAGTGACGCACACAGCTGGGAGACCAGGGGACACTAAAGAGTGACGCACACAGCTGGGAGACCAGGGGACACTAAAGAGTGACGCACACAGCTGGGATACCAGGGGACACTAAAGAGTGACGCACACAGCTTGAGACCAGGGGACACTAAAGAGTGACGCACACAGCTGGGAGACCAGGGGACACTAAAGAGTGACACACACAGCTGGGAGACCAGGGGACATTAAAGAGTGACGCACACAGCGGGGAGACCAGGGGACATTAAAGAGTGACGCACACAGCTGGGAGACCAGGGGACATTAAAGAGTGACGCACACAGCGGGGAGACCAGGGGACATTAAAGAGTGACCCACACAGCGGGGAGACCAGGGGACATTAAAGAGTGACGCACACAGCTGGGAGACCAGGGGACATTAAAGAGTGACGCACACAGCAGGGAGACCAGGGGACACTAAAGAGTGACGCACACAGCTGGAGACCAGGGGACATTAAAGAGTGACGCACACAGCTGGGACGTTCAGGATTATAAAGCTGAAAAACATCTTAACTCTTTTTTTCTCAGACTTTTCAGAATATAACCTTTCAAAAAAAAAAAAGTTTAAAATTTTTTTTTTTTAGATGTTTCTTCGTGAGTTTTGGAACATCTGTGTTTTGTATGCTTCCAGACGAGCTGATTAGACCCCTGATAAATGTTTTTTGGGTGATGTTTCTCTGGTGTGTTCTCCAACAAATTTCCCGCACATCCCCCATAATAGTCCCTGTGTTTCCATAGGAACCGATGCCACGGGAACGCCGGCAGAGACAGTCGGCGCTACAGAAAAAACCGAAAGCGGACGACACGAGGACCGAATGCACGAGCTGCAGCGGGCCGGGAGACAACGAGAACCTCGTCAGGTGAGAGAGAGAGATTGTGTGTGAGTGTGTGAGACAGACAGAGAGAGAGAGTGTGTGTCTCAGTGTGTGTGTGTGTGTCTGGGGGTCAAGTTCCTGTGAAAACACTGATCCCACCCAGATCTCTCTCTCTTTCCCTCTTCATCCCATAATGTCACTAATTACATTGTTGCCATGGCGACCACGGATTCATATTGTGTTTTTGGGTTCATTGTCGAGGGTCTCATCCACTCTTTGAGGTCCGTTTCTGTCTCTGGACGCCAGGTTTTTTTTCACATTTTATTTATTTTGGTGGGGTGAAAATAATCAAGCTTGGTAATACTTAAGATCATTTATGGACACAAACTATTTCAAAAGCTTGAAATGCAACGACTATTATTAGCTCTTCAAAGCTATTATAGGCCAAATCTTACTGTTGTTCAGGTTATAGGTGTGTGTGTGTGTGTGTGTGTGTGTGTGTGTGTGTGTGTGTGTGTGTGTGTGTGTGTGTGTGTGTGTGTGTGTGTGTGTGTGTGTGTGTGTGTGTGTGTGTGTGTGTGTGTGTGTGTGTGTGTGTGTGTGTGTGTGTGTGTGTGTGTGTGTGTGTGTGTGTGTGTGTGTGTGTGTGTGTGTGTGTGTGTGTGTGTGTGTGTCCTCCTGATGATTAAAGTTCAGTCTTCATTAGGCTCTCTCTATTGACCTGTCACACAGTTCATTACGGCCGAATGAAAAGCACATTTATTCTGCGGACTCAGAGCCGGACGGATAATCAGCAGGAATTTCTCTCTCTGACATCTCGGGAATTCTGTGAGGAAATAAGAAACGAGATCACAGCTGAGGAGGAGGGGAAACATCTCTACGCTTTCATCAGGACTATATCCCCTTAAGAAGTACTCTGTAGGATCCTTAAAGTACTCTGTAGGATCCTTAAAGTACTCTGTAGGATCCTTAAAGTACTCTGTTAGAAGTCCTGAATTAAAATAATACAGAAGTGTACCAAATGTACTTCAAGTATTAAAAGTACTCTCCACCTGTCCTCCTCTCCACATGTCTTCCTCTCCACATGTCTTCCTCTCCACCTGTCTTCCTCTCCACCTGTCTTCCTCTCCACCTGTCTTCCTCTCTGTCTTCCTCTCCACCTGTCTTCCTCTCCACCTGTCTGTCTCTCTCCACCTGTCTGTCTCTCCACCTGTCTCCCTCTCCACCTGTCTGTCTCTCCACCTGTCTGTCTCTCCACCTGTCTTCCTCTCCACCTGTCTTCCTCTCCACCTGTCTTCCTCTCCATCTATCTTCTTCTCCACCTGTCTTCCTCTCCACCTGTCTTCCTCTCCACCTGTCTCCACATATCTTCCTCTCCACCTGTCTTCCTCTCCACCTGTCTTCCTCTCCACCTGTCTTCCTCTCTGTCTTCCTCTCCACCTGTCTTCCTCTCCACCTGTCTTCCTCTCCACCTGTCTTCCTCTCTGTCTTCCTCTCCACCTGTCTTCCTCTCCACCTGTCTTCCTCTCCACCTGTCTTCCTCTCCATCTATCTTCTTCTCCACCTGTCTTCCTCTCCACCTGTCCTCCTCTCCACCTGTCCTCCTCTCCACCTGTCCTCCTCTCCACCTGTCTTCCTCTCCACCTGTCTTCCTCTCTGTCTTCCTCTCCACCTGTCCTCCTCTCTGTCTTCTTCTCCACCTGTCCTCCTCTCTGTCTTCTTCTCCACCTGTCTTCCTCTCTGTCTTCCTCTCTGTCTTCCTCTCCACCTGTCTTCCTCTCTGTCTTCCTCTCTGTCTTCCTCTCTGTCTTCCTCTCTGTCTTCCTCTCTGTCTTCTTCTCCACCTGTCTTCCTCTCTGTCTTCCTCTCTGTCTTCCTCTCCACCTGTCTTCCTCTCCACCTGTCTTCCTCTCTGTCTTCCTCTCCACCTGTCCTCCTCTCTGTCTTCTTCTCCACCTGTCCTCCTCTTCTGTCTTCTTCTCCACCTGTCTTCCTCTCTGTCTTCCTCTCTGTCTTCCTCTCCACCTGTCTTCCTCTCTGTCTTCCTCTCTGTCTTCCTCTCTGTCTTCCTCTCCACCTGTCTTCCTCTCCACCTGTCTTCCTCTCCACCTGTCTTCCTCTCCACCTGTCTTCCTCTCCACATGTCTTCCTCTCCACCTGTCTTCCTCTCCACATGTCTTCCTCTCCACCTGTCTTCCTCTCCACCTGTCTTCCTCTCCACCTGTCTTCCTCTCCACCTGTCTTCCTCTCCACCTGTCTTCCTCCTCCACCTGTCTTCCTCTCCACCTGTCTTCCTCTCCACCTGTCTTCCTCTCCACCTGTCCTCTTCTCTCCACCTGTCTTCCTCTCCACCTGTCTTCCTCTCCACATGTCTTCCTCTCCACCTGTCTTCCTCTCCACCTGTCTCTCCACCTGTCTTCCTCTCCACCTGTCTTCCTCTCCACCTGTCTTCCTCTCCACCTGTCTTCCTCTCCACATGTCTTCCTCTCCACCTGTCTTCCTCTCCACCTGTCTCCACATATCTTCCTCTCCACCTGTCTTCCTCTCCACCTGTCTTCCTCTCCACCTGTCTTCCTCTCTGTCTTCCTCTCCACCTGTCTTCCTCTCCACCTGTCGTCGTCCTCCACCTGTCTTCCTCTCCACATGTCGTCGTCCTCCACCTGTCTTCCTCTCCACCTGTCTTCCTCTCTGTCTTCCTCTCCACCTGTCCTCCTCTCTGTCTTCTTCTCCACCTGTCTTCCTCTCTGTCTTCCTCTCTGTCTTCCTCTCCACCTGTCTTCCTCTCTGTCTTCCTCTGTCTTCCTCTCCACCTGTCTTCCTCTCCACCTGTTGTCGTCCTCCACCTGTCTTCCTCTCCACATGTCTTCCTCTCTGTCTTCCTCTCCACCTGTCTTCCTCTCTGTCTTCCTCTCCACCTGTTTGTCTCTCCACCTGTCTTCCTCTCCACCTGTCTTCCTCTCCACCTGTCTTCCTCTCTGTCTTCCTCTCCACATGTCTTCCTCTCCACCTGTCTTCCTCTCCACCTGTCTTCCTCTCCACCTGTCTTCCTCTCCACCTGTCTCCACATATCTTCCTCTCCACCTGTATTCCTCTCCACCTGTCTTCCTCTCCACCTGTCTTCCTCTCTGTCTTCCTCTCCACCTGTCTTCCTCTCCACCTGTCTTCCTCTCTGTCTTCCTCTCCACCTGTCTTCCTCTCCACCTGTCGTCGTCCTCCACCTGTCTTCCTCTCCACCTGTCGTCGTCCTCCACCTGTCTTCCTCTCCACCTGTCTTCCTCTCTGTCTTCCTCTCCACCTGTCCTCCTCTCTGTCTTCTTCTCCACCTGTCTTCCTCTCTGTCTTCCTCTCTGTCTTCCTCTCCACCTGTCTTCCTCTCTGTCTTCCTCTGTCTTCCTCTCCACCTGTCTTCCTCTCCACCTGTTGTCGTCCTCCACCTGTCTTCCTCTCCACATGTCTTCCTCTCTGTCTTCCTCTCCACCTGTCTTCCTCTCTGTCTTCCTCTCCACCTGTCTTCCTCTCTGTCTTCCTCTCCACCTGTTTGTCTCTCCACCTGTCTTCCTCTCCACCTGTCTTCCTCTCTGTCTTCCTCTCCACCTGTCTTCCTCTCCACCTGTCTTCCTCTCCACCTGTCTTCCTCTCTGTCTTCCTCTCCACCTGTCTTCCTCTCCACCTGTCTTCCTCTCTGTCTTCCTCTCCACCTGTCTCTCCACCTGTCTTCCTCTCCACCTGTCTTCCTCTCTGTCTTCCTCTCCACCTGTCTCTCCACCTGTCTTCCTCTCCACCTGTCTTCCTCTCTGTCTTCCTCTCCACCTGTCTTCCTCTCCACCTGTCTTCCTCTCCACCTGTCTTCCTCTCCACCTGTCTTCCTCTCCACCTGTCTTCCTCTCCACCTGGCTGCACTTTAAAGAACATAAAGAATTATAATCAGTAAAAATGACTTTCCATCTATTCTGATAACTGTATAAACTTTACGGTCAAGTTAGTAAGTTACAATGACGAACACTAAATGGTACTATGTCCAAGATGAGAGCAGGAAGTAGATGAGAGGAAGGCTGGACGCCTGTGTGATGTTTGGGGGGTGAGGATGCTGCCCTGACTCTTTCTATCTTTGCATTGCACAGGTTGTGAGAGCCGGGGCAGATCCTCCCCTCCCATTGGCTTAGAGACAGAGAGAGGGACACAAAATGAGTCACGAGACGTCACCAAACATCGCCCGACACCAAACATCGCCGTAAAAGATTCCAAACATCGCCCAACGAACACTGAACGCACCGCGGGAGGTCCTGAGACCGCTGGACTCTTAACGAGGAACTTTTTGTCAACAGATGTACTCGAGTTACTGCATCTCAAACGTGTTTGACCAATTTAGAAATGAGTCATGTATGTATTAAACCACAAGTAACCAACGCTAGTTAGAGTAGAGTTAGACAAAAACAATGGACTAAAGGGACAGATGATGGATGCAACTACTAGAAACCGCCTTTGAGTGTTTTTGTCAACACATGTAGCTCAAGTTGTTTTCATCTCAAACGTTTTTGACCAATTTAGAAATGAGTCATGTATGTATGTAGTAAACCACAAATAACCAACGTTAGTTTGGGTAGAATTAGACAAAAAGGTCAAATGATGGATGCAACAGTTTGAAAGAGAGTCCTGGTGTCTGTACTTTTTTCATGTGATGTGTTTACGTAAGAAATAGCATGTTAGACGGTGAGGGACCCATCAGCTATGGAGTGAAATCACTAAGATGATTAGTATACCCTGAAAGAGTCATAGAGACCACTGAGGATGCACCGGAGAAGCAGCTTTCTAATGTGACGTTTGAGGGGTATAGGTTTGTCCAATGTTTCTCCTTTGCTAGAAACTGAATGAAGGACTTGAAGCTTGAGAAAGGTCAGAAACACACCGCCCAACGAACACTGAAGGTGGAGGTCCTGAAACCGCTGGACTCTTAACGAGGAACCGTCTTTTTGTCAACAGATGTAGCTCGAGTTACTGCATCTCAAACGTTATTAAGACATGAGTCATGTATGTATGTATTAGACCACAAGTAACCAACGCTAGTTAGGGTAGAATTACACAAAAACAATGGACTAAAGGGACAGATGATGGATGCAACTACTAGAAACCGACTTTGAGTGTTGTTGTCAACAGATGTAGCTCAAGTTGTTTTCATCTCAAACGTTTGACCAATTTAGAAGTGAGTCATGTATGTAGTAAACCACAAATAACCAACGTTAGTTAGGGTATAATTAGACAAAAAGGTCAAAAGATGGATGCAACAGTCCCAAAACGACTTTGTAAGAGTGTCTTTACTTTTTTCATGTGATGTGTTTACATTAGGAATAGCATGTTAGACGATGAGGGACCCATTTGCTTTGGAGTGGAAATCACTAAGCTGATTATTAGAGCCATAAAGACCACTGAGGAAGCACCGATTTCCACCAAGAAGCAGCTTTCTAATGTCACGTTTGAGGGGTATAGGTTTGTCCAATGTTTCTCCGTTGCTAGAAACTGAATGAAGGACTTGAAGCTTGAGAAAGGTCAGAAACATACCGCCCAACGAACACTGAACGCACCGGGAGGTCCTGAAACCACTGGACTCTTAACGAGGAACCTCCTTTTGAGTTGTTTTGTCAACAAGTCGAGTTGTCTGCATCTCAAACGTTATTTGACCAATTTAGAAATGAGTTATGTATGTATGTATTAAACCACACATAACCAACGCTAGTTATGGTAGAATTAGACACAATGGACTAAAAGGTCAAATGATGGATGCAACTGTCCGAAACGACTTTGTGAGAGAGTCCTGGTGTCTTTACTTTATATCGTGATGTGTTTACATTAGAAATAGCATGTTAGACGGTGAGGGACTCATTTGCTTTGGAGTGGAAATCACTAAGATGATTAGCAATGAAAGAGCCATGAAGACCACTAAGGAAGCAGCTTTCTACCAAGAAACAGCTTTCTAATGTGACGTTTGAGGGGTTTAGGTTTGTCCAATGTTTCTCCGTTGCTAGAAACTGAATGGAGGACTTGAAGCCTGTAAAACGTGCTGCTAAAACGTGCTCTCTAACCTATGGAGCCTTGAAGACCACTGAAGGTGAACGAGAAGAATCAGCTTTCTTGAACAAGCTCAGATCCCCCTAAAGTATTGTGTTAAATGCGACATCTAAAAGTAGTGAGTTCCTCCAACGTCTCTCCATTGCTAGAAACTGAGTTGAAGACTTTTAGCTTGACAAGCGTCAGACTCGTAGCTGATTTATCGTCTTCTGATAACGCCTCTCTAAGCCTAATGAGCCTTGAAGATCACTGAAGATGAACCGTTATCCACGAAGAGCAGCTTTCTAAAAAAAACCTGCATAATTCCCCTTTTTCAGGAGCCTTAAGATTGTGTTGAACTCGATGTTTGACGGTTTGCAGTTCGCCAACGTTTCACCATTACTGGAAATTGATCTTTAGCTGTCAGAATTGTCCAGATACAAAACGTGCTCTCTGTGTCTAATGAGCCTTGAAAACCACTGAAGAAGAACCGTTTTCCACGAAGAAGCAGTTTTCTAAAAAGCTAAAACTCCCTTTTTACAAGATCTTAAAGATTGTGTTGAAATCTGATGTTTGGCGGGTTATAAGTTCGTCTAAAGTCTCTCCATTTCTAGAAACTGGTAGAAGAACTTTTAGTTTGGAAAGACATCCTGAAGCATTGCTTTTTTATTGTCGTCTGACATGTATTTTAATTACTTTAAATCAACTTTTTTTAATGGCTGGGTTTTCTGCACTCTTAACCTCTCCATCAGAACCAATCACTATTGACTGATCTGCCATCCAATCATTTCAGTGTCAATTGGGTTAATTAGAAACACTCGAACAAAAAGCTCGACCAGATTTGATTGTTGTGTTTGTGTTTTAAGGACAAGGAAAGTGTTTGTGTATAGAACAGCCAACTCAGTAAATGAATGCTACCGTTTAGCATCTGTAGTTTAGTTAGAGGTAATAGTTCTTAGATTTTAGAAGTCTTTCTCTGTTTAGTGGTGACAGCTAAACTGAAAGGTCGTCATAAGGAAGTCCAGTTCTGTCTGAGCTTTTAAACCAGTTCTGTCTCTTGAGCTTTTAAACCAGTTCTGTTCCTGAGCTTTTAAACCAGTTCTGTCTCTGAGCTTTCAGACCAGTTCTGTCTCTTGAGCTTTTAAACCAGTTCTGTTCCTGAGCTTTTAAACCAGTTCTGTCTCTGAGCTTTCAGACCAGTTCTGTTCCTGAGCTTTCAGACCAGTTCTGTTCCTGAGCTTTTAAACCAGTTCTGTCTCTTGAGCTTTTAGACCAGTTCTGTTCCTGAGCTTTCAGACCAGTTCTGTTCCTGAGCTTTTAGACCAGTTCTGTCTCTTGAGCTTTCAGACCAGTTCTGTTCCTGAGCTTTTAAACCAGTTCTGTCGCTGAGCTTTCAGACCAGTTCTGTTCCTGAGCTTTTAAACCAGTTCTGTCTCTGAGCTTTCAGACCAGTTCTGTTCCTGAGCTTTTAAACCAGTTCTGTCGCTGAGCTTTCAGACCAGTTCTGTTCCTGAGCTTTTAAACCAGTTCTGTCTCTTGAGCTTTTAAACCAGTTCTGTCTCTTGAGCTTTTAGACCAGTTCTGTCTCTGAGCTTTTAGACCAGTTCTGTCTCTGAGCTTTCAGACCAGTGTTGTTCCTGAGCTTTTAGACCAGTTCTGTTTCTGAGCTTTCAGACCAGTTCTGTCTCTTGAGCTTTTAGACCAGTTCTGTCTCCGAGCTTTCAGACCAGTTCTGTTTCGGTCCGGACTCCAGAGAAACTCCCTCCTCATGCATGGCTGTATCTATTTAACCTGTACAGTAAATTACATGTGTCCAAATGTAGAGTCTGAATGCCAGGTAGTGACGTTGTGTGTACAGTATTTATTGAAGAGGCCATGTACTTTTTCGTGCCTACAAACGTGATTTATATCTCATGGTGTTGAGTTGAACTCTGATTTTTTTTAATGCATTATTAAATGTTCTTTTAATTGCCAAACTTGTGTTCACACGGTTCACACCCATGATTCAAAGGGAATGTTTCTGATTATAGACCGGTGCAGGGATGAGTACAACTCTTAAAGGGTCCACTACAGAAATACGTCATGAAATGAAACATGAGAATTACGATACTGTACAAACTAAACCAGTATCAAACTGATAAACACAAATATCGTTAACAAATGATATATAAACTAATTATTTACCTAATTACACATCTGGAAAGTTTACACTTATTTAGTCCCACCCTTTCTCCCAAAAACTCAATTATTAACTTTTTGTTTTCTTTGAACAAAATGTACGTCTATATAAAATATGCATTTACAATTATAAGAAGATGATATCATTATTACTACAATATATATATATTATTTTAAGTTGTATGTCATATAAGACAAATATAAACGACTCTTTTTACATCCACCATCCAAAATTAGGGCTGTCAAACGATTACAATTTTTAATCAGATTAATCACAGTTTAAAAATGCATTAATCATGATTAATCACCATTCGAACTATTTTCCAAAATATGCCATTTATTTATGTATATTGTTGGGAATGGAAAGATAAATGAAAGAAGGCGGATATATCCATTTAACATACAGTATCTATGTTTATTATAACATTTTCTGCGTGTCAAAAATGAAAGACAACCCACACACCTATCGATCATCAAACCGTGGGGTCTTAATTCATTACGTGTTGATTTCTATCAACGGGGGAGTACTTCAGGAAAGTCGACAGAGGGGGGGGCGGCTAGTGGAGTACTTCAGGAAAGTCGACAGAGGGGGGCGGCGGCTAGTGGAGTACTTCGTGACCACAGACTGTGAACCTTGTGATCAGCTGTTTCAGCGCAGTTCTCCAGTGAAGGGGGGGGGGGGTGGTCTCCCTCCGCAGCCGGTTGGCGTAGTTTTGGCACAATTCCGTTGTACAGACCGACGTTAACAGCAGCCCTGTCTGTGCACACGGAGACCGACTCTGTCGTCCGGTGATCTAACCGCCTTCTGGAAAAGCTTCACAAGTACAACACCACGCCGTTATCAAAGATGTTCTATTGAGAAGACGATCACTACGTGACAAAAGTTTTCAAAACCGTGGCTACTGAAATCAATCTGACTAACTGCTGTCTGTGCAATTTACTCCGCGCGAGTTGGCAGACTTTATTTTGCTTCCTTTAACATCATTTTTCATGGTGGGGCTAAGCCATTTCTTGGTATGGGTGTAGCCTACCCCAGCCACACCCTGGCGCTGCCACTGGTGGCACGTATGGGGCGGGCCATTCTGCACATGCGTTAAATGCGTTAAATATTTTAACGCAATTAATTCAAAAAATTAATTACCCGCCGTTAACGCGATAATTTTGACAGCATTATCCAAAATACATTTATTATTATTAAAAAAAAAAAAAGCATTCCAAAATAAAATAAAAAAATACATAAAAGAGATATCAAGAAAAGATAAAATAACAAACCGTGTGTGTGTGTGTGTGTGTGTGTGTGTGTGTGTGTGTGTGTGTGTGTGTGTGTGTGTGTGTGTGTTGTGTGTGTGTGTGTGTGTGTGTGTGTGTGTGTGTGTGTGTGTGTGTGTGTGTGTGTGTGTGTGTGTGTGTGTGTGTGTGTGTGTGTGTGTGTGTGTGTGGTGTGTGTGTGTGTGTGTGTGTGTGTGTGTGTGTGTGTGTGGGGCTCTGGCCTGCAGCTCTCAGAATTAAGTGCATCTTTAATAAACTCTTGACTTTCCCCCCTTATTGCCTCGGTGATAAATGAGTGTCAGCGAGCTAATTGATTGTTGTAAAGGTGCGTTTAATGCCCTCCGTCAGCTGTGATTTATCACCTGGGAAATGGCCTTCTTGTTGACACAATGCAGACATTATCCTGAATAGATACAAATCTACTGGAGTCTGTTTTACAGGTTTCATCAGAGGCTCAGCAGCTTCAGTGCAGAAAGGCAATGAAATGATTCTGACCTGAGCTCCTCCAACAACGCAACATATATAATAAAGTACAAAATACAAATAAAACATAGTGCAAGAAGTCTATAAACATGTCAATAGAATATGATATGTACAAGAACAGAATATGAAATTAAATAATGTACATTAAGACCAAATTAAATACGGTTTATTGCGGTGATAAGTATTTAGAGGACAAACAGATGAATGTTTATCGAGGCGCTTCACAGAGCTCTTTAGGGTTGATGGCAGCAGTTGGTTAGTACACAGTATTTATTATTGATGATATCTTGACTTTTACATTTAGCCTTCTTCTTGCCGAAGCACTCAGACGTTTCTCACTTCTGACTCGAGACGATGTGAATCTGTCCACCAACAGACAATCAGGGAAGCTGTCTTGATCATTTAAACACAAGTACATCATATCACAGTTGACCCAAACTCAAGATCTTTAGATCAAATATTGAAAGAAAACAAGGCTGTTTGAAAAGAACACAAGGGTTTGATAAATGCTCTCACAGATAAGCATACAAATATATAAAACATGAATACAAGGAGCACGATGAGATGGATCAAACGATGTGTATCGCCTCAGCAGAGCTAACAAAATCATAAAGGACAGCTCTCACCCAGGTCACAGACTGTTCTCTCTCCTGCCTTCTGGGAGGAGAGAGAGGAGCTTCAAGTCACGGACAAACAGACTCAAAAACAGTTTCTACCCCCGGGCCGTCAGGCTGCTCAACCACCACACATGATGCAGTAACCGTAACCATTCACACACACACACACTTTAAATGCACTTGATATACTATTTTTTATATCAATATTTGTAACTATTTATTCCCCCGTATGATTGTATGTTGTCTGTCCTATTGCCGTGTTTTTTAGTGTTATGTATTTGTTTGTATTTTTTGCACACCGGGACAGAGTTGCACTCTGAATCTCGTTATACTCTGTGTGTAATGACAATAAAAGGCTTTAACTTTAACTTTAACTAGACACAAAAAGTCCCAAAACAGTCATCATTTATGAACCATTACTCATGGGTTTTGTCTTTTCTTATAAACTCTGTGTTCAGGACATCGTTGGATCCTAATGACTTAATAGGCGCTTTCACACCAAGTACTTTGCCGTACTTAGTCGCAGATCGCGTTCATAAGTTCCTGAGGGAAGATTAGGCAAATGAAGCCGCTGGCGTCACTTCTTCTTCTTCTGCTTTGGGTTTACTGGCAGGCCGCAAACCATAGGCGGCGTGTGAGGCTCAGGTTTGGGAAGGCTCAATACTTTTTTTTTAACTGACGCTGCCCGCCTCCGGCGTCTATAGAAAAGAGATCAACTCTCAGTGAAAGCACCGCCTGCTGACCGATCAGAGCTCAGTGTGCGGAGTTTAAATCTATCAAGTCATATTACAGGAAAAAGGAAATACAGTTTAAACTGCCGCATGCAGAGAAGACGCCGACGTGTCGCACTTATCATTCATATCACACTGACATCACATCATCAATCAGATCATCGATCATATAATATCATAATGTATCATATATCTCCTGATCTGAGTCAGCTGAGTCGTATCTGGCCGTGCAACACTCACAGCGTCACAGACTGGATGCAGAAGTATTATTTTAAGCAACACATTAAGTTGAGGAAACACTCGAGTCAAATGTAATGAAAGTCAGACGGTGTCTTAGACGGGCAGTGATATCATAAACCTGTTAATGTACGCATTCAAACACTTTAGTTTATTTATTTTTTAACCAGTTCTGTATTCTCCTTGCAGCAACTCTGTGGCTTGTATCCTGGATTATATGTTTAAATCATGGATGTTTAAAGCTCACATTTGTCTATTAGTTTACTTTTCATTAATGAAGTATGATGTTGCGCTGTCAGTACACTTGTCCCTGTTTGTGATTGGTCAAATGTAGCTAACCCCGCCCCTTTCACATGAACGCGTTCTCAGCTGGAGAGAGAAACCCTGGCTTGATTTACCGAGTTGATAACCAGCGTCGTAGGACCGCTTAGCGAGATCTCGTTTGTTAGGGTTAGTGAAGATAACTCAAACATATCCAGGGTCTGTTGAACTGGCTTCCTAGTATGCCTACAGGGCACCGGTGGCTGCATAGCAGCGCTAATGTCAAAGACATTAAACATTATATTTTTATTTTACCAGGATGCAGTCACACACATATTAGGGAAGGCTTAGCCTTCCCTAGCCTACAGCACCCGCCACCCTGCCGCAAACAACTTCACGGCGTATACTGCCACCCGAAGTCCCCGGAGTTGGGGAAGGCTTCAGTAGAAGCTGCTGGGACTCCCAGCAGCTTCTACTGAAGCCTTCCGAGTAAATCTCCAGAACGCCGACACCTCCTCATCTCCACCGCTCCCATGTTTTCTTTTGTGTTGCCATAAGTTAGTCTCTCTGCGTTGGTGGGCGAATGCTAATGCCAGTAAATAAAATGGCGGCTTCACAGAACATTGTGGGAGTTTTACGGGGCGTGGTTTGCAATCCGCCCAGCCAATCAGACATAGGAACCTTTTTCTCCCACGAAAGTACCTGCTCTCTAGCAGGGACGGATAGTTCTAGTTTTTTACTGTGAACGCTATCGGAACTATACTGTGAAAAGTACTCCGGTGTGAAAGCGCCTATAGACTTTGTATACTGCAGGGTAGCTGGTGGATTTACTCCAGGTGGAACTAAAGTCTGATTCAACACTTGATTAGATTTACCATCATTCATCCACATCTGTGAAGTAACTAAAGGTATTCAATACATGCAGTGGAGGAAAAGTACACCATTTACCTCTGAACTGTAGTGGAGTAGAAGTACAAAGTAACATAACATTGAAATACTCAAGTAAAGTACAAGTACCTCTAAAATGTACTTGAGTAAATCTACTTAGTTACTTACACCTCTGCCCCTGTGA